TATCGGCAACTATCGCCCCATCTGCTTGCTGTCTGTTGTCTACAAACTTTTCACTCGAGTCGCCCTAAACAGGACTGACAGAACACTAGACGAAGGACAGTCATGTGAACTAGCAGGGTTTCGAAAAGGATTTAGTACGACGGATCACATCCACACCATAACAAGATTCACTAAAATATCGTGAGAGCGCAAAAGACCGCTCTGTCGCACTTCCATCGATTTAAAGATATCAGCTGAGATATATGCAGTTATGGAAGCCCTTGATAGTCAGGGAGTCTCTACTCACTTTATAAAGGATCTTCTTATATAAAAATTTTACAACCGAGATATTACCATTCTACAACAATATTAACATTGACGTCAAAAGAGGAGTTAGGCAAGGCTACACCATCTCGCCAAAATTATTTACCGCCACCCTCCAGAACGTTATGCGAACATTGGAATGGGATAATATGGGAGTGAAAATCGTTGGTCGGCAGTTACACCATCTTTGCTTTGCTGACGGAATCGTTCCTACAACATCAAACATTAGCCAAGCAAATCGAACGCTTGCCGAATTTCATGAGTCCTGTGGAAAGATTGGTCTTCGACTAGATCTCATAAAAACGATGTTCATGAGGAACGGTTATTGGGTACGTATGACGCATTCAGGGTCAACGGAAAGAGTGTTCCCGAATGCTCCAGTTACGTCTATCTATGTCGGGAAACCAACATATGAACTACTCAGCTTTGGAGTTGGGCTAGAGGAACCAAACGGTTTGCGGTGGCTTCAAGATCATCGAGGATGCAGTGAAGAGAACAAAGAATCCTGCCTTAACGTTTGCGTTAACAACGTGCTCGGTGCGTGATCAGGATGAAGGATCACTCAGCGTTTTTGAACGAGCAGCCGAAAGGGCGATGCTAGGAATATCCCGTGTCACACAAATGAGGGGAGGGATCTGAAGCTCCGAACTGCGTTAACGATAAAAAATCGAAGATGTCTTTCTATATGGAAGATAGAAGATAGGTTGGGCTGAACACTTAATGCGTATGAACGACAAACGATGGATAAGAGACGTTAATGACTGGAGTCCTCGGAATGTCGAACGCATCGCAGGAAGGTCACCGATCTGATGGTCAGAGTGCTTAACGGAAGTCCTAGAAGAAAGGTATGGTGCTCAGCGACTCTCAACACCGAGCGCAACCAACTGGGCTGCTGTTGCGCGCGACAAAAAAAATGGATGATTTACTCGCGCACGCTCGAGATGGTCAACGGGATGACAGGTGATGCCCTGGTTCGACCACAGAAACAACCAAAGCTGTTATTCTTCCGTTATTGCGATTTTGGTATCAGATTTATCTCGGAAGCTTTCTCCGATCCACGGAGGGTGAAGACCAGAGAACGTTTAAGCACGGTTGTCTCACACATCTAAAAATAATCGACTCGACTAACATTCTACGGTAATCTCAGGGAAGACCAAGCTTTCCAGCAGAGTGCGCGCCGTAGAAAACTATTTTGGTTTTAATTCAAAGTTAAAATTCAAAAAGTCAGTTCAATAATAGATCGAGGATCTTTAGCGGACTGTATATCGATGACACATTTGAATTGTTTATTCGCTTGTATTAAAATTAAAGCTTTCCTACCAATATGCTGAGATCCAGGCAAGAGAGAAGACTCAGTTGGTCCTAGACGAGGTCGAGCTACAGAGCATTTAGGTGTTGCACCACGGTAAAGCTAACCACTGCACTTACTGCAATACTCTGTAGATTGTAATAAATCTTATTTCATTACGTATTTTTTCTATGGCCTATGGTATAGTTGTTAAAAGTGGTAAGCTGTGTATTTCCCAGCCGAGTGTTTAATGAAATTGCCGAATTTCGTCGCAAATATGTTAAGCTTACTCGAAGCAACTAATTTCGTGAGAATATTCTTTCGGAGACACAAAATCTGGCTGACAGCACGTTCATCTACCAAAACAAATTGTGCTAGAGGCAAACTCGCTCTTAAATTTACTATGATATGTGGAGGACTCTATACCTGTAGTGTTTCTAACGCGGCTTTACATCGTCGTTAACTTTTCCCTAAACTTATTCATGTAAACGAAATCTATGTAACGAACCAATAGACGTTTTTCTGTTGATCTGGGCTGTTATAAATGCAATAAATTGGGTGCCCGCTTGAAAGCGGGGCAAGAATGATCACGCATTTACTCGAAAGACTCAAGCGAATCCCCAGCATGGGTTCTACGTCTTGTCAGCACCAAATTCCCCATATGCCTTCTATATCCAGATAAGACTATTCATGTACATTTTATATGAGGGTTTAAGTAGAACGCGTCTCGCAAGCCTGAAATCGAAGTACACAGAAACACGTGAAGCGTGTGTCCAGGTCACGTCCCTTAAATTCCCATTTTTACTCCAAAACAACCCTACAAGGTACCAACGGCGATGGCCAGTTTTAAGAACAAGAATCAAGTTAGCCGTGTTTGAACTGCTTATGAAAACTGTGGCACGGTTGGAGTGTATTGGTAACATTCTCAACAGTTCCACATTATATTGGACGACCTGAGGTTCAGCACATATTCATTGTTGCCCAGCGGTTAACTGGTTTGAAAGTAATGCATTCTGGTAAGACTGATGCACATGCTTAACGAATTTCTGCGTTTCTACTTCCTAAACAGTTTTCCATACTCTGGGAAGCTATGCTATGCTGGACTGTTGTGGAAAGATGGTTACTGGCTACGGGAGTGAGATCTTCAAAGTGAAATTACTCGGAGAAGTGCAAGCGATGGTGGAACGTAGAGCGTAGTCACAGCACATATCTCATAACTATATGCTGTAAGACGAAGTACGGACACATGACTACAGAGGAGATGTCTAAATTTGTCGCTTGCGATTTGTAAAGATTTGACGTAATCGCTTTCAATGTTTTTGAATTAAAAATTCACACAGGGTCTGTGAGTTTTCCAAATGTCATCCTCGAGATGGAACCAACTTTCTGTTAAGCTCTCATTCGCGCTTTTCTAAACCTTGTTTGTGGTGCAATTCTCTCAGCATGAGTGAACTCTTGCCATATTGTTTAACTTTTTATCTACTACCATTCATTTTTTATTTTTTCTGTTCCGTTTCTTCTTTGTTTCATTTTGCTTTTATTATTTAATTATTTGCTGTTTTCATTTATTATTTGTTTTATTTTTTCTATTTCGTGCTGTATTCTATATAGCTTATGTTTTTTACTATTGCTGATTTTTAAAATATCTCAGTATTACCCCAATGTTGCTGAGATTTTCTCAAAACTCCGAATCGCTGGTGTCTGCGCTGGGACCGAACACGCTATTATCCCCTCCGGAGGCTAACGCGCTCACCACCTCACCATGCGGGTTCTTCGGTTCGCTTGTCTCTCAACCAGTTCTATCGATCACTGCCATAAGCAATCACCCTCCAACGAAATTGATCTGGGGTACACAAATCGGCATGCACCCAGTTAAGCTGAAGCTATGGTATAAATCACAATGTCGTCAATTTTTAAAAAATTGGCAACGTTATTTCAATATTACTATGGTTTCTTATCGTACTGTTCACCTTGAACATCTTCCGTCCAATACGGTGGTCATCTCAGTACCGCATTGAATTTGTGCAAAGTCAATGGATGGTTTTGGGAGGTAACGTTGAGATGCCAAAATTGTAAATACTGTAATAAACAGGACATTATTAGTCAGAATGAAATTGGATCATTATTGTCACAAATATGGAGTGGAATAGTCACTGAAATCATTGGTATTTACGAATTTCAGCACAGCGAGCACAAGTCTATTTGTTTCGCCGGCTTAGAGTTTTGAATTTCTGGAAACTACTGATTCTTCGAAAGCATTTCCAGCTAAGGCTTCTTGTTCAACAAGTGTTCTTGGAAGTGGCAGTCGAGGTGTCTGAAAAGTGTCGGTCGGTTGGTGAGGAGGCCAATTTGTGTGGTTCATGAGAGTGAATATGAGCTAGTTCAACCTATGCAGCGTTGATGGTGCGACGGGTAGTCGAACATCGGACAGGAGGAATGGGCGTGATCTGTTGCCTGACCTTACAATTTTTTGACGAATTTCTTTAGATTTGAGAGCGCATGCACTGAAAGTTGGAAGGGATCAATTCGGATATATGATAGAACAGCAAATAAACACCACAATGCTCTCTTTTACTGGAAATTCGGGAGATTGCGCGCTTCCGGGGAGTAACGCGTTCACCACCACAACAAGCGGGTCCGTTTCGGGCAATAGCGCGTTCGTTCCCCACCGCACACACCTGCAGTCCGGAGTTTTGTAAATATCTCAGCAATCTTGTGGTTGTATTTCGCTTAACACCCTGCCATAAAAATAATAAAAGGCGGAAAATAAAAAGTAAACATTGTGAATTGAACTACAGCCTATGAAACAGTTCATTACTTTGGCCTTCTTTCTCCTCGTTCAATTCTTCTGCTACCTATTTGTCGAGAGGGTCGAGTTGCTCTACAATTTTTCGAGTAGTTTTTATGGAGGCCACTTCCAGCAACGCCTCTGGTGGTCGTTGTCCATTGCAGATAGGCTCCGAAGAGTTTCTCCACCATGAAATCTCAGATCTCCGGTGGTAAACTTTGGGTACCGTATGTTCGGAAGCCCTTCCCTGATTTGAGCTTTGCTGACATTTTGAATTGCTACTGCAATTTTGAACTCACTAAGCGAGGCAATAGGAATTTTTATGATTTGAGACGATCATTTCAGCCAAAATAAAATCATTGTAGTGTAAATCTTAAAAAAAGTATTACAACGCAGGTAGTTAAGAGCAAATGAACTTTAAAGCGGTGTGCCACAGCAATGTAAACAAGAAAAATTTACCAAGAAATATTCTTGCAAAGTTCGTAACGTCTAAATTCGCCGTTATTCTAGCAATGATAAACCGATAGTTTTACTACTCAGTTCTGTTTCTGCAGGCCACACCTGGACGCGATTTCCGTGACAGGACCGACTGAATTCAGTGTTTTTTCGAACAACTGAAAAATGCCGTTCAAGCAACCGCTAGGAGAACGCGTGGAGAACCGCATCGCTCCGTCATTCATCAGGGTCAGTCATAGTATTGAATTTCGCGTTAATACTAAAGTGTGCTAACCTAGTTTAGAAAAATTCAAGCTTTGCCAACTTTTTCCGAAATTGAAAACTTTTCAAGGAATCCTTTCTTTATACCAATAGAAGGGAATCAGACATCTTCATTTTCTGAATGACCGTCGTTTGGCCATAAGAGATCAAAACAAATGGTCTCTTCATGCCAAACATGCGTCCATGTTCGGGAGGTGGCGCAGTTTTGCAGATCACCACGACACTTGTGCTGAATTAGCGCGTCGTTTTTTTGGAATGCTCATCGTTATTGCAGCCGTTGGCCGATAAAAGGGCTGTGGTCGGCGACCGAGTGGTACTGGAATGCCAGCTGGAAGGGCATCCGACACCAGTCGTCAAATGGCTTAAAGACGGACACAATGTCTCCAGCTGTCCTGACTATAAGGTGACCTCAAAATTCACTGTGCCATATGGATAGCTATACTTTTTGATAAAGCATAGATTTTATATGAGGGGAGAAGGCCTATGGAACACGCTTACAATCATGGACGTGCAATGAAAAATCAAATTCAACTAGCATTGAAAGACACTACCAGGGTTTCCAAAAATTTTTGAACTTCTGACTCAAAACACTGACTAGTATCCGCGTGTGCAAACTCAACATTCAGTTAGCGGTTTGGTGTAGATTTCCTCCCATTACCAGTGCCTAGGAGGACTACTGCCTAGTTAAATTTGAGTAGATTCTATGTAATTATTATGTCGCTGGCTAACTGTCTTCTTTAAATGGTAACGCTATATTGTAGTATTTCATACTTAAGAAGAAAACTAGAACTCGCTGGTATTCCAGTGGTGGTTATGTCGTAGGCGTAAGGCCGTGGTCAAACCCCGCACCAGTCCAACCAAGCCCTCCATCCCTCCATCATCGGGAAATTGCTACTAGGGTCGTCGGGATCAGTTCCAATCCATAGAAGATGGCGGGCTCTTGTGACAAAAACCTGGGAACGATCTTGTATATCCTAGAATATGTGTGAGGACGGATCCGTGTAAGAAAAAATGAGATTTTTATTTTTTTAAGTTAATTGGAGGCAGTTTGGAAAGAACATTAGTGATAGTGAGTGACGTTGTAGATCGAAGAGGATGGCCATCATCACCGGTTGATCATCGCCCAGGTACAAAGTGCCGACAGTGGGAGGTTCACTGCTCAAGTTGGTGGCAGTTGTTTATAATCTTCAGTCTAGTTATTATTTGTTTTCTTACATCTGACAAATATCATAATGGAAAAATATTCTCAAACACGCCAATCGTTGGCCGTTTCGTCCACGAGGATGAAGTTCAGCGCATGTCTGAATCTCTTGTACGAAAATACTCGCGTAGTATTCTTTCACTGATAAGCTAACGCGAGGTTGATATGACAAAATTATTTGACTAACGTGACGACGTCTTCCTCCATCCCTTCATTCGTGCTCATTTTCATCCAAACGCTAGTAGAGCAAAGTGTTTTATCGACCTTATGTTAACTTATCAAAGAAAGAGTACATGCTGATAAGTTATCCCGAGGTCAAGAGAAAGTCGCTTCTTGAAATACACGTAGAGCGCTCAAACTTTTCCATGAGCACGTCATTCATGGCTTGGTGCCGTATTATGAACATTGAAGCAGATAGAAATATTAAATAAAAGGAAAATTTGGCCACAGTTCGTTTCTCTTGCATGTTTTTGTACAATACTTCTCCAATATAACAGTAGAATTGAGTGTTATCGTGTGCTTTATTAATCGTGCAACTGTTTGCTCATATTTTTCGTCGCTTTCGCTAATGTGTCGAAGATAGCTGGTTTCAGGCTGCAAACGCTGCTGGTCTTCGCCAGTCCACATGTATTCTTATTGTCGCTCCTGCACCTACCCCAGTGCCTGGTGGGAAGAACGCGGCCGTGTAAGCACCACAGTCACCTTCTTTGTCATCTCTTTGTTTCTGCAAAGGATCTCTCTCGTTGAACGCACATCGGCGTCGACACCAAGTGGGGTTCATTCCCATGACACTGATTTGTGTACTCGACGATCTGAGACCCTGTGACACTGTTTACTGATCCATACACTGGATTTAATGCCTTTGCTTGTCCAAGGATCAATCCATGATCATTTCCTCACGCCTTTATCAATAAAAATAGCAGTTTCCTTTAAGGTACTCTCCCGCTCCACCACACACGCCTGTAGGTCCTAGTGCTCCAATATTTTTGAAAGAACTACGACATCAGCCGCTTCGACTCGGAGATATCATGGTCATGGAGGCAAGAGTAGCAGGTGCGAAAAATATAAACTTAATGGCTGCGTGTCTCTATAGTATGCTTAAGTATTTCTAAACCCTTATTTTAGTAGTTGCAGCAGACCAGATAAATGAATGAAGGATTTTTTTAAAACTCTTGAATAGAAGAAAGTATCACCTGGTACCACAATAGTTAACTTTTACTTGCTGCCCATTATTTTTCATGGAAGGCTATTATGTGAAATACAACCGCAACGATGCTGAGATAGGGTAAAAACATGGCTGAGGTAAAGGTAAAACAAGGGCGTTGATAGTGCAGTGATAACACATGGTCCTCCGGAAGTCACCACACCATGTGGGTGCTTCGATGGGAATGTAATGCACAGCACGTAAGCTCCGTGTAAGGGTAATCGCAAGTTCAAAGCTCACCAGAGATTTCGAGTTTCCTCATAGCTCAGTGTCATTGTGGCTGTATATGAAGCAGTAGCCCAGTAGTCCGATAAGTAGTGGCTAATGGTCTTGAAATGATTAGGAAAAAACCAGCTACGGTTCTGTTTCTAGCTAATGTGCAGGTGGCTTTAGTATGTTGAACTTTTTCGAATACTCTCTACAGATGTTTGGTGAGGGAAGAAAGCAAGTAGTTAAAAATGGGCGAAAGAGAAAATGCAAAGGAGGTAAAAAGAATGAAGGAAATCCTTTCATTCTAAAGCCTTTATTCATGATTTAGATTTTCGAAAAGAAGTACATATGCAAACGTTTTTTCTGTTTTTTTTAATACCTAGGAATTCAACTAATTTTTCGCAACTAACATCGTGCTCAGAAAAGGCGATGTTTTGTTAGGAGAAAAGAAATGAAATGACGAGAAACTTCATTTAAGATTTTTTGGTTTCCTAGCTTTTCGATTTCGAAGTTATTTCTTATAGTTACAAAACGACGACGTTCTTGTTTGTACGCAAGGAAACACTCTTCCATTATTTTCAGTACAAGATTAGAAGATAACGACAAGTTGTAGGTGTGCCACATCCTCAAGTCGAGTGGATGAAGAATGGGAAACCCCTGCAGAGCTATCGGTAGGTGGATCCGGCTTCTCCTCTAATACACTGCTTCCGCTCGGTGGCGCCAACGTCACTTTCGTGGGGGTTTCTGGTCGAAGTCTCAGAGATTTCCGTGGAATACTATTTGCATTACGTAAATATTTGCGAAAAAAGAGTTGAGAAAAGTGCAGCAATAGGTCGTGCCGTAAGTGACACCAGATAACTCTTTAAAATAGATGTGACGGTACAAAATTTAAGACATTGGCGTAGCAACGTTTGAAGGGTATGAACAGTGTCTATATACCTCTATGAGTGAGTTAATCCTTTGTTTTGGCATAGTGGGAAATAATATTTGAATGGTAAAATTTGCCACAAGTATAACTCGGAGCAGAGAGCAGATCGCACAGTGGTTGTGATGTCGGCCATCATGAGCACGATGCTGGTTCGATCCCGCTCGGAGCTCAGCAAGTCTCTCATTCCTCTGGGGCCAGGGATTTGGTACCGGTCTTGACCGGCAAAAGTCACTCTCTTCAATCCAGTTGAGAACGCCCTAGCGCGGCTATCTTGGGACTCTAAAGAGAACCGACTCGACCAGCATCCAACGACATTCATGATGAAGGAAAATCCTCAAGCCGCAACCGATGCCACACGTCAAACTTGCAAGACCTTCGTGGATGATGGATGCAAGGAAACGAATCCAGTACGAGAAGTGCTGGAATCCCCACAGTAGATATGAAGGATGGGTCGTAAAAAAACAGAAAGAAAATATCTCGGGCCGAAGCTAATAGCAGTTTGCCTAAAACGAGCTTTCATTTCAAAACACACAGGATTTTTTTTGTAGAATCTCAAAGAATTGTTGTTTCTTCCGCGATATATTGTTAGTGAAATCCTAAATGTCTTAAAGACTGCAGGCGTATTGTAATGTAATATCTTAACGGTTCGGAATTCACACATGGTTAAATGTGTTTCGAGCTATCAAGTATGAGGGTATTTCTTAGCTGGTGGGCTAGGGTGAAAAGAAGCATAAAAGCCAGCTTATATTTCTTTCCTTTACAGCATTTACAAAGTCTCCGCAAGTCATAGGTGGTAATTTACGATTTTTTCAGTTCACTCATCATTAATTCATTCATTGAAATTGTTGAATTGGTGTCAAGAAGCTTACTTGCTTGGGTACTTGGATGGCCCGTCTTCATATGTTGTGTTGACCCTAGCATAAGGTCCTTTCGTTTCTTTCTCGCGTCATCATCATCGTCTTCGAACATTGTGACGTCTGCGAGACTCATTCCGTAATCCTGAAGTCGTTGCTATCAGCGAATGAGGATGGTTGAGGTAGGCTGCGAACACATTTGTGAGTCGTTTGGCTGTTCATCCAAGAGGGAGCTTGCATGGGTTCAATTCCACCTTTTTTCATCTACCTGTTATCAGTTCAGTTCATTATACCGCGATCCCCATTGACCACTACATCTGCGATTCGCTACCGTCGAGAGGCACACTATAAAAGGCAGCAATTTTAAGCGATATAACCAATCCCGATGCAATTATATGTTGATAAACACTATGAAAGTAATGTGAACTGAACATAAATAAACTTTAAAACACTTGAAAATAAGTGACAAGAACGATGGCCGTCTGAAACAAATCCTTCCATTCGGTTGGCCATCAGTCTGCTCTTGCAGAACGAAAATCGAGCACGATCCCAAGAGCGGCATCGTGTCGCTCATCATTTCGCAGATGTTCAATGACGATGTTGGCGAGTACTGCTGTCGGGCAAGTAATATTCATGGGGAGGCCACTTCTGTTGCTCAGGTATCTTCGGCGTAGTGCATCAGAATTATCGCAAAACGAAATATCAGCGTCAAGTTGTTTGTCAATTCCTTTGATTTAGCTTCTCATTCGTGAGCAATATGACAAATGGTTTGCTGAGGAGCAGAACCGGCTCACTCGAGACAGGAGACAGGCGCAGGTGGGAGTTGTGGTTTTTGATTTTCATCGTTTGTCGTTAGTGGACAGAACAAATGATAGCAGTGATTATTTTATGTTGCCTCTTAACTAAATGAGAATCGACGAATAAAAAGAGTGGGCGTGAACAACTTTTATTCTTCACTTAGTTAACGTTTGGAGTTTAAAAGCAGTATTCTGAAAAATGCTGGTAATTTTTTAATAGCTAGAATATTTCTAAGAACTTGACGGATGCATACAAAAGAGCTCTTGATCATATATTTACCTATGAGTAAATACTATGTACCGAAAAGCGTTGTCTTGCCTTCAATGTTGCCTAGAAGTAAAATTTTCCCGAAGGATTAAAACCGAGTCCTAAATTTTCAAAATTCGTGACCCATTCTAGTCTACTGCATGCTTCTGATCAGCACCACATTCGTGGGCATCATGGACAAAGTTCCTTTTGTTCAATTGCTTATGGGTTCGAAATAGGACCCTTGACAAAAAATGGCAAAAATATCATCTATAAGTCTAATTAAAAATTTAATCAATTTAATAATATGGAAATTTTGTGACATGTGAGCTCAAAAAATTTGTTCAAACAAACTAGAGATTTTCTACTAACGCTTATTGTGCTTTTGAATTCGAAATAGTATGTTGCCAATAGTCTTTAGAAATGTTAGCAGTTCCAATTTGCTACAGTTGTTTTCAGCAAGCAGGTCGTGTAAACAATGTGGGGCAAAAGCAGTTGCTGAAGCAAGGATACAACTACAGCACTGAGCAGGACAGCGGTGACACTGTAGGCCGGCTTTTGAACTCACTTATTTAAATTTCAGACCAGAAACCCTTGCCTTGTCTTTAACCCACCCTATAGAGCCGTCATCATAGGTGGGGCATATTGATATGGTATATTGAGGAGATGTTTCTTTTACTTCCTATTAAAAAAAGAGTAATGTGGAGTATATCTACTATTAGCCGACTTCTTTCATTTGCAAATCATTCATGATGGCATATCTTTTGGTTTTCGAAGATGAACCCAATACTTAAGAAGGTTGTATAATGCTCCGTGACCGCCATCAAGAAGAGAACTACATCGCACCTTTCTTTAAGCATATAGTTCTTCCTCCCTTCTTATAAGATGCTCAGTCTCTCAATAATAACTCCTAAATAAAGTAAAGCCGAACAGAACAGGAAGTCGTTGAACGGGACTCTGGGAGCTGCTGACTATAACTTTTCCTAGCTGAAAGCCATTGATTGCCAGAATGTACATTTTCGGCACCGATAAGCATGGGAGATGTTGCGCAGTGTGTAAACATAATCACATTGTTCAATAAAAATTTTGCCATTGTTTATCAGAGGAAAGGTGCGATGTAGTTCTTTTAATCGAAAATTACTTAGGTTATGGATACTATTCCCAATGTATATTTTCTTAATGAATTTTTTACCAATTTACTGTGAAGTTCCATTGCTGTTCCAGAGTCGGTGGTAAAGAGTTTATTAGCCAACAGTCTATGCCGCGCGTTTTCGCATTAAACACTGATCGAAAGCGACGACATAGTTAATCTCGGACGGGATCCTTCCTGTCTCTAACCGGCTACAATGACTTCTGCCGTTTGTATTCACGCAGTTACATTCATACATACCTGCGTAGGAGTGCTTGTGTGTTGGCGGCTTTCATGACGACAGTGAGCAATATCCGGCAATCAAGCAGCTGACGCGTGGAAGGCAGCTTGGGGTTCTTTGCACAATATAAGATCGAAATCTGTCCAGAAAAAAAAGCTCGGGAAAATCAGTGGTCGAAATTACCTGTGAGCACCCAGCCCCAGAACTCAGTGGTTATATTAACTACCAGTGAATGTGCTGTGGCCAAAAAGAAGATTGTTCAATGGTGATCATGATATTGGAATCAGTGGCATTGAAAAATGTTGAATCAACTTTGTAAGTTCCTCAACGCTGACTGAATTCGACTGAGGTGCGGCAAGATGTCGTGGTCTTGACGTAGAACGCTGATAAAGTCGGTATTAAGAGCGCTTCAAAATATGTGTTGGTATATATATTTCCCTCAGGGATTGAAATATCTGGGAGGATAGCACATTGATTCGATGCATCGATAGTTCACGGCGAGTCATTGTCAAGGCCATATATGCGTTCAAGCACCTCCAAACGATGCTCAGTGATGTCAAATGCTTGGCGCATCCCTCAGAAATTGATCAACGCCGAGAGCTTTATTTTTTTATCCTTTATACAACAAAATGTTCAATATGGCTAATAATGAATATCTTTGATTCCAATCAATGGTTCGTTAGAGTAAACATATTAGTTCGATCATCTTTACTTAACCACAAGTCAACACTCGGAATCCATACCGCGTTGCTATCTCATTCACCATCCTAGTGTAAAGAAGGTTGGATCCTTATAGTGACAAAATGTGCACGTAGGTAGAAATTTTGAGATGGAGATTTCTTGTGAAAAGCGTACGATGCATTAGACTAGAACGTTTTTCAACTACAAAATCTCTAACTAACATAAAATTCGCATTAAAAATGGACAAAGACTAATCTTCACCTTTTCTTCCCCATCTTATACAGAAGGAAAATGCAAATACGGGTTTATGTGGGCGTCCCTGAGACTAGTATCTTGTGGAAAAGAATACTCAATTGAAGAGGGGTTGTTTAATTACATAAACGGTATCAAACAAGTAGTTTTACAGCACTGGACTGTTTCAATGTCGGAATCAGAAACTGAACCGGAGATGGCCTTTCTAGAGGCTAGAGGAATACCCGGCTCACCTCCAATAATTCGTGTACCGCTGAGAGGGCTTCGGCTCACTGAAGGCACTGATGCCATCCTACAGACAAACATTGTGGGCATCCCGAAACCTAAGGTGCGATGTATCTATAATAGAAGCCAATCGGCTGTCAAATGTGTAACTGCTTCGTACCTATTATCCAGAATTTATTTATTATTCTTTCTTGTTGTGTTTATTTTGTTGTTCTTAGACGTAAAACGTTCCAACTTTAATTTGGAACTCCTTCAGAAGCCCTTATACAAATTGATATCATAGCTGAGAGACAGGCGAAACGAAAGACCGGCATGGTGTGGTGATGAACGCGTTACTCCCCGGAAAGGACAATAGCGCTTTCGTTCTCCACCATAGACATCTGCGGTCCAGAGTTTTGCAAATATCTCAGCAATGTTGTGGTTGTATTTCGCTTAGTACCCTGCCGCGAAATTATAGTAGGCAGAAAATAAAAAGGTATAACATTGTGATACCATAGACTGTTTTGTACAAGTGAGCTTTTACAGATATACTGGTTCTTTAATGGAGCCCTGATACGAATAAGTGGATCCAGAATTCAAATGACTTATAAAGGTAGGCTTGTGTTTGCAAGTTTAGCGATGACGATTATTCCGCTCAATCTAAAAAGCAGCTTTCCATCCTTGGATTCTACTTATTTTTAGCTGCAGTTTCTTCAACCTTAGATGCGTAGATTTCGTGAACTTCTTCATATTCTCTTGTGCTCTCCAAAATCCAATCTTCGATGCCAAGGTAATAATATTACTTTTCAGGATCGTTGGCTATTCTTAAACTGTCAATGGTGACTCCAGATGACTCAGGAGAATATATCGTTGTAGCTGAGAACCCTTTTGGCAGGGTAGGTTATTTTGTAGAAAGCGAAGGTAGAAAGGAAATAGTGGAAGCTTTAATTCTTATAGGTGAGGCTTCTCATTCTATTTCTGTTAGATGCTTTTATGCACCTCTACTTGTATCTCACGTCGTTTCTACACATCTTGTCTTCACTTTCTAAACCAATTGGATTTGAATTGATTTCAATGCTGAACTGCTTACATTATCTCCCATCTCATCATCCTCTACACAGAGTTACCGCAGTTTCCTTAGTTGACAGCAAGAGACAAGCACGCTTCATCAGGGCGTATACTTTCGTTAGCGTAATTTGATACTTAGACTACACTGCTAACATTTACCCGCAATGGCTCGAACGTTGCTGATTTTTCCATCTTGGCACACGCCTCCATAATTTGTTACAAATAGAAATGAAATGAAATCTATTCGAGCAATTTTCAACTGCTCTCGGGAGTAGGAGGTCTTGTTGAGAATGCCACCATGTCTGTGTATTGTCTTGTCACTGCGCCCACCATTTCTTAAGAAAGCGAAGCCTGCCATTGATCCTGTTGATCTCCGCCCACGTAGCTGTTCGTTTAAAACGTTCTTCATTTAGCAAATTTTGCCACTTTTCGAAAATTCTGGTGTTGCATCCACGTTAAAGGTTTTTGTTGGTTCACTCGATGACAGGAAATTGATGGAGAATCCCTCACACGAACAAATGTAAACTAAGGTGCTATAAATTTCTGAAAATAATCTTTCCTTCCACTCATACCTTGGCTGCTTGTCACCTAACCGGTTGTGTGTTTTGGCGAGTTTATTGCTTATGCGCTGTATGTCCAGTTCTGAAACACTGAGCTTCTCTTGGCAAATTACGAATTCACGTCATTAATTAATAAAATTTTTATATAGTATATAAGTTTTTGCTCGCACACCTTTAGGCAGCGCAGTGGCATTCTTGTTCGGCTTTGCTCCTTTATAGCACACCACCGATTGGACAGCCTTTTCTTGCGCTCCACCGCGAGTTTGTAATCGAGAGTTCGACCAGCCTCCATGAGATAATGACGGCCCATAAAAGTTAATTTTAACTTTCATTATTTAGATATTTTGGCCCTTCTTCCGTAGTTGCAGTTCACGTTGTTCTGCACACAAGGACAGCTGCTGCCAAACAACTGTCGACACTCTGCAAACACCTATTGTTTTCCTGTCTCCACGAGCTGACTTCAATTAGTGAGCTTCTCCTCCCACATATCCTCCCGCCTTCGCATAGGTGCTCCACACTGCAGTGTTGGACATTTCATCTCCTACCTATCGCTATGAATCGCTTTATCTAGAAACGCTAACATAAGCGTTTACACTATTTTAAAAATGTCGCACTAAATAATTACGCTCTCTGGCTTTCAACATTTTAGTGGTATTTGCCGAAAAGTGTTCGGAAACTCAACAGGGTATATAATCGGCGTTGCTTCGAGCTCCATGCAAACCTGAGCAACCCAACATTTCTGGAATCTACATCGTGACATTGCCTCTAATTCCAAATCATGGTCTCATTTGTCTGTCTTTTATAGTAAATAAATGGCCTATAATAGTTTATGAAGCTCTTCGACGGTACCATAATCGAATTCTATAAAATTCCTGAAACATCTGGTAGTTAGTAATGTCCTCCGAATGCTATCACACTACAAAGAAACATAACCTCCGCGCTCTCGCTCGCACCGCCGTCCACCCAGATATTACACAATTCGTCCAATAATCGAATGCAATACTTTTTATAGTTATTTACACTAGAAAACCAGTGAGCTTTGGATGCTTCTAAAAAGAAGATACACACAAGGTATACTAATTTTGCCTGACTTGCGAAGCGATTAGCTGATTTGTGTTTGCTTACCTGAAGCCCACATCGAAACGGTCGTTTCTGCAAACCTTTCTGTTCGTGTTCTCATCCACATTCTAGGAAAATGTTCTATTCGTAAGTTTTGTACCTGGTCGTTACTCCCCTCTTTTCATTCTGCTACCAACTCGACGAGACTGCTTTTTTTCTTATGTCAACGATTTTCGCCTTACAGCGTAAATATTTGGTGGAAGTTTTCTTCATCGGTTCATCCACCGACTTGATTGGCGAGTCCTCAAATATAATGGATTTGCCGGTCTTTTTAATCCTTCGTATAGTGTACTGGGTTGATTTCTGTAGATAATAAAAGGTAGTGCACCGTTTCCTTGTTCATCAGATACAAGTTTGTTAACACCAAGATCTATTCACTACAATACTGGCCGGCGTTTAAGGTTTCGCCTTCTTCAGAGCATGGACAAGCAGTCTACTCTGCTGAATACTTTCATAACGTCACTAGAAAAAATTTGATACATAAGTTTTTGTCGTATAGTAAACATGATGTCTTAAACACTCACCATTTTGTTTTTTCAAGCAATACAAAAATACAAATAAAAAACTAATGAAAGGTGTGCTACTAAAGATCCACTGACGCATCCCTTTATTACTAAAGGACATTATCGAAAGCTGTTAGATCGGCGAGGCCTAGATTTCGTATTCCGAACAATTGCCCATTTGCGAACCATTTATCCCTGGAATTTCTCTAGAATGTGTTTATGCCAAAGCATCGCCCTCATCTTCATTTATATTGCACTTTAAAGCGGATTTAAAGTTAAAAAAGGTTCTCACGCTCGTTTTTTTTTGAGACGTTCCATTTGTAGATTTTGGGTTGTGGAACTTGAAATGTTCTGCACTTCGTAGCCTTCATATAAGTGGATTTCTACAAGTGGAGAAAGTTCTGGAGAGCGCCTGATCTCCAAATTTTTATCGAATGTTACATTTTTTGATGCTCCTTATTTTCTTTAAAGAACAAGTGAAGTAAAATAGATGTCAACGTTTGAATAATTGTCTCTAGGAGAGGTGGAAAATTAGCTTTCAGAACCATATCTGTATTTTGAAAACAGTTTTTTATGTCAGGAACAAGTTCTGCTATCCTAAACTGTTTTTATATTGCTAGAAACCATGGTGTCAAATTCGTATATCGAACTACTGGACTTACGCTCTACCGCTTGTTAGTTTTTTTGCAAATAAATTATATCTCCGAGTTGTGTAATTCTAGTGCGCATCTATTCAAAATGTCTTAAGTGTCGCAAGGATAACTTTTGTGGTACACTCAAGCATTTTGCATATCCCAGCCTGTTTTTGAAGAATTCCCTCGGGTCACATGAACGGCGTGGCACCCACAAGAACTCGCTAATTTGTTTGTAAGAAGTTTTGTTGTTGCGTCGAGTAGGGCATCACAGATGCTCTCTGTGATATGCTTTGGGCGGGACCGCTTGACTGGCATTGACTACGGCTCAGGTGTTGTGTTCAGGTCGAAAGTGCAGCTCGGATTGAGGTCTATCCTCTCAGCGCGCCGGAAGAGGGAGATAAAGAGCAGCAGCTGAGACAGCAGCAACAGGTTGGCCACCTTCTATTCCAAAACTCTCGAGAACTTGTTTGCGTGGGGGCTGCATTATTGATAGCCTCGATTTTCTTCATTGTATTGTGTTTTAGTACACGAATATCTATTTTTACTCGATTGGAACATGTGGAGTTTGGAATTGAAGTGATTGAAAGAAGACAATTTCATTTAGCGTTTCGACGAATCCATGAAAACTTCAGAGACCTTATATTTTTTGAAATTTCAAAAGAGAAAAGGCGTTGGAACAATGTTTGTTGTGTAGGAATTTTTCAAGTGTTGACAGAAAAGAAAGCAATTGGGAGCAGGTTAAGTGCGTTTTCTGGAGGGAATGACACATTCTCTAAACAATACATTGACACATGTTCTAACAAATTCAGTTTTCGTGAAAAATCAATAGGGAAAAGCCGTAGGGAAATAGTAATCCCTGAAATTGGTGTTTGAGGAATATCAGAGTCCGACCGATCAGAAATAGTCTTTCGATTGTTCTCCGTCCCATCTTTACAATTTCACTCTAACTCGCGCTACAATTTTCAGCGAAGCTTGAAACAAGTATATTTCACATATAATATGAATGCTCTAATAGCTTTGCACGTTTTGTTTTCCTTCAATATGAATGGTGAATTGACCCAAGTGAAAAGTGCTGGTTTCAGTATCTGCAGCAGCAACAACTGCGATACCAGATAGCTCTAGAACGTGAGCAGATCGAGAGGAAAGCGCGAGAGGAGGAGAATCTTCGGATCAGGGAAGAGCAAGAGCGCCTGCGTCGGCTTTTCGAGAAGGAACGCACGGAACGGGAGCGCCTGGAGCAGATCCGGCGCAGAGAGACCGAGGAGCGTGAACGACTCCTACGGCGTCAGGAACAGGAGGAGTGGGCCAGAAAGTCTCAGGAAGCACACGGTCGAAGACAGCTAGAGGTCGAGCCAATGTTGAGATGTTGAGAAGCGTTCCTTTTCCAGTTTTCAACAACAGCTTGTTCAGTTGTTGTGATTTCGAATCATATAGGAATTTCACAAAAGAAATGACCAAAGTCCAGCATAGATTGGTTAAAACGGACGTTTTCGGAACCTTAGAAATTTTTTTTGCCCTTACCATTCCTTAATGACCTGAAATCTAAAAGGCAAATTTCTCGAAATTTCTGCATTTTATGATCTTAAAAATCAATCTCTATCAAAATGAAGCAACAGCAAAAATTTTTGAACAGTGATCATCTTCTAGTTCGATAAACTGATAACTTCTAAACTCTTTCGAGGCTCTACTTTCTTGGTATTTCGAAACTTCCTTTTTGCTTCATCAGAAATAACAGTAAAGCGTAATCGTAGAATTATACCTATAACAAAAATATTTGCAGTACACCCAGCCATATAAACTACGGTATCCGTGGTATCAACTACAACAGCAACAACAGCAGCAGCAACGGCAACAACGTCAGCAGTTTCTTAGCACAAAGCAGGCGCAAGGTAGACTTCTGGTCTTCATTTTTTCCCGATCAATGTTGTTTATTTTCTAATCGTCATTTCACACCTTGAATCACTCGGTGATATTATTACACAAAAGGTGGGTGTGATTCTTATTTCTACCTCGAGGAGGCAGCCATCCTACTTCCGCGGATTAATTTCAGGATTTGCGGACGGTCGCCTTCCTTCAACTCCTCAGTACAGCATCTTGCACGAATCAAACTTCACGCAGCATCCTTACTACGAACAAGTGCCAATCGCGGTCAGTTGTATAACACATTGCACAGCTTGTTTCAATTTGTCGCTCTGCTTCTGCATGAACAAATTGCTAGCGGAACTGGTTTTCTATTTCAATGTTTTAAGAATTTCACATTTCTTATATGATTCAAACTACTGAATGTGCCAAAAGGGAACGGGTGGTGCAGTAGTAGTGATGCCTGCCACTACAAGCTAGGCACTGGTTCAACCCCACGAGCCCCACCAAGCCTCCTATGCTCCGGGGTCTGGAAAGTGGTGCTAGACTTGTCTGGAACCAGTTTACTCAACCGAATCCATGTTTAATACCCCAGCACGGATATCACAGAGTGCAGAGAGAGTCGACTCACCCGTCATCCAACGAGATTCATAAAGGGGACGAAAATCCTCAAACGGCAGCCGGAGTCACACTCAAAAATTCGAGGTCTTTCGTTGATGGTCGATGTCATTTAGTTGCTCGGATTGTTATGTAATCTCCAGTCAAGATGCAGTTTTCCGACATTTGTTTTGTGTTTTTTTCTCATCTTTTTATGCAGTTCCGCATTCTCGTTGTAAATTTGCCTCTCGTTAAATTACTTCATGCTCCTAGCTTGTTTTGTTTTGCTACCAGAGTTTCATCATCGTTGTACTAGCACGTTCACACCGCTGCATCTGGTACTAAGGGTTCCAGCTATTCACTTTGCTGATTGTCTGCTAGGGCTCATGGATGCCATTTCGTAACTATTTTATTGGATATGAAGTGGTTTGCCAGGATTTAATTTCGACTTTGATTGGACTTCGTATGGATAGGCAATATCTTGGTTTATTCAATAGCTTAGAAGAGTTTGTTATGAATCATTATTGTAGCTAACGTTTCGGCAATCCAGGCCTCATCACAGCTACAGTGATTCAACTCGAATGTTCAGAACAGTTGCTTTTTCTTGCGTTGTTGATATTTTTAGCCGTCTCGTTGAGAGGAATTGAGTAGAGTGAAACGCTAAAGGAATAAAGAAGTGTCTCTAGCGCCGTCCTTTTATACGAGAGTCTAGCCGCGCTGACGTCACCTGCCCACACACGGCACTTCTTCAGGATGCAAGACAGTTCTTGCTTTGGTGATGCTATGAACACTCAGTTGGAATCATAGTGGATCTCATGAAGGCGAAATCGCCGAAACGTCAGCTATAATAAAGATTTATAACAGCCTCGCGTAAGGTCATCAATAAATCGGAACATTTTGTGATTAGAATATTGTCTGAAAACGTTTGGGTTGTTCTCCAGTTCTTAATACATCTCATGCTTTCCGCTCTCATGTGTTAGAAATCGTCTGCTCTTTTTTTCCGACTTGTATCACATCCTGTAATAATTCACGATTCCTTTCAGCAGCAGCAAGAACACTATCGATTGGCAGAAAATCAATTCCAGCAATTTGATCAATATCAACAACATATCGAAAACCAACAGAGGTTTCGGAACATGCCAACTTTGAGGCAGACTCAGGTTAGTATAGTTGGAGACAAAACATTAATAGCTAACATTATCTTTGGGATGAATTTTCAGCTTTGATAGTGAGCGTAAACAAAGTCGGCAAAATTCCTTGTTATGGTCGACGCTTCAGCGACATTATCACCAGTAGTTTCGCATTGATTTGAGTCGATTGCTACGAACTTACGGATCTTTCCATTTCACTGAATTCGGTTCGATACCACTCCGAAACCCAACGCATCACACGGAATGATGGGTGCACCCGAGTTGAATCCGGTGGTGAAATCGCCAAGATGCTGGCTGCAACGAAAAGCCATACTCTTCAAACTTGGTGCAAGCTTATCACTAATCTAAGCCGGGGTGTAACCGAAGTTTCTTTTAAAAAGGTATTAAGAAATAGCTAGAATGATTCTTACTCGAGAAGTGTTAGAGGTCAACGGAGTGAAAGCTTTTGACCCTATGTGTGAAAGAGATGTTAGATGATGACAGTTTTTTTGTACGACCCACCTTTCACATCTGCTGTGCGGACTCCAATACTTTTCGTATTCGATCCATTATCTACTAACGTCTTCCGACTTTTTATATATGGCGTCAGCTGCTACTTGAGGATTTTCCTTTCATCAGGAATGTCGTTGAATGTTGGCTGAGTAATTATCCTTACAGTGATGAGGTATCAAGACTAGAGCATTTCCACTTGAACTTCAGAGGCCGTAGTTTTCTCAGACAAATCCAATACCAGTCTCCCGGTTGTCTGCCGGAGTTCCCACATCGACAGCTAGTGGCGGAACCTTGCTATCCATTGAACAGTTCATTTTTTATGGCGAATTCGTTTGAAACGAATCCCTAATGGTTTCGGCTATTTCGATACCAAACTACTATTTCTTCTGTGTTGTCACAGCAAGGAATTTTCAAAGGAAATTGTTGCCGTAGAAGAGACTTGTCTGCTTAAAGTCAAAATGCTCACATGAGCAAGCGCCTTGCTGCAGTGATTCGCCGAAGTGCTTTTCAAACTTTCGCTCGGCTTCAGAAGTAAGCCAACATCGTTTAAAAAAGCGTACGAAATCAAATTGAAGTAATACTAACTAAACAGCCACGTCAGTCCACACACTGTGATCAGAACTGTTTAGACAACTGTGGAGATTCGCTGAGAAAGTGTTCCCCTTCTAGGATGCTGTACAGACTTCTCTCCTTCCAGCTGTTGTTAGTTACGGGCACTTGGTGAATCATATGCTGGGGAAGATAAACCATCGAGGATCAAGTCCGTTGCGAAACTGCTGTCATCCATTCCTTCCTCTTATTCAGTCGCTAAAGATCTGGGCAGATATGACTAAGCAGCTGTCGTGGTTTGAGGAATGTGTTGTAGAGAATGATGGTGACTACAGCGCACACTGAACAATTTTTGTGCCAATAACGCTGAAGATTTTTGAAGAAAATGCGTTGAGTACTGCGAAAATTTCCGTAATATGTAGGCTAATCTTGCTGCTAAAGTTAATGCCATTGTTCCGTAAATTGTATTTCCAGCAACCTCTACATGCTACTGAAGCTACCAGTAATGTAAATTCCACCATTCATGTTTCAAAAGTCAACGGTGATGCGAAAATCTCCACTGGACACTCGCACGAGCACGGAGCAGCACTTGTGCCTGTGAGTGTTACTCGTTGAGTGGTGAAAGCCAAAATTACGACGGACGTTCGTTCAAAAATGCCGTGCAACTCCTTTGGCTGGCTCTAGGGCTGAAAAAACAAGATCACTAGTGGTTTTTTGAGCGATTGTCCATGTGTCTAAGAGGTTCCTTACGTGAGAGATAAGGTGGCGTGAAGCGTTTGCATGGAAATGTTTAATGATTTTAATTTTCTCTTGAGACGAAGAGAAATGATCGGGAATACTTTCCATTCAAATTATATCTCTTAAAATAGAGAGAAGATTACATAACAACATATGTACGGCTGCTTTCTATTTTTCAGTCACGTCCACCCAGCTTCCTCGTTCATCCACAGTCCATCGCAGCAAAACCTGGCGAAACAGTTACTTTTACAGCGAAGGTTCGGAGTTTTTTTCTTCTCGAATTAAAAATAAGATTGAAGAATGCGCGTTCTTATAGCGTGATTTAAACAGTTATGTATGATAGTCATAAAGCGCACACCTGCATAGACTTCGGCGGTGCTATTGAGAGGTGTGATATGATAGTCGTTCATCTTTTATAAATTGTGGAATGCTACGTGACACCAAGGTATCTACGTCGACGAGGCCTGATTGTAAATCAAATACCATTCTATTCTCGGAGTTAAATATGACTTATGGTTCCACATCCATCCTGTTGCTGAGAAACCTACTTCGCCTCCTCATGAGTTCTGAATCTATCACAGTTAGCAAAATATCGGCTTTCCACAGTACAACAGTGAACAAAAAAGGATAAAACTCTCGGAGTTGATCAATCCCTGAGGGATGCGCCATGCACTTAACTTCTAAAGTAGGTGATTGAATGCATATCTGGCTTTTACTATGACTCGCGGTAGCTCATCGATGTGTCGAGCCAGTGCTGCTATCCTCCCAGACAAGTTTGGTACCAATTTATCGACCGCGGAGGGATGGAAGGCTTAGTGGACCACGGGCGTGGGATCGATTCCATGTGTGTGTCGCAGTGGCGTCTCCAACTACTGCGCCGCACGCGCCCATAACAGTGAATAGAAAATATTACTCCAAATAGATCATCAGGGCTTCTGCCAGTGGATGATTCCTGACTAATATCAACACTTTAGTTTTTTCAACGCCATTTAGCATTTCGACAGCTTAAGGAAATTCTTCTGTTTTCCATCACAGCATTTGATTAAAAATCTACTTTTCCTTGATTAAAACTAAGGCGAAATTCAAATGACATGAATTTATTTTATTTGACTCGTCTTCACGTCTACTATGTGGATCCCAGCACTTGTCACATTCCACCCGTTTTTTTGCATTATCCACTAACACTTCCAACTTTTACGTGTGCTTCGGTTGCTGCTTGAGGATTTTCATTTCATCTTGAAAGTCTTAGAATGCTGGTGGACTGTATTCTTTCTAGAGTCCTGAGATAGCCGAGCTGGAACGTTCCCAGTAGGATGGCAGAGAGTGACTCTTTCCCAGATAAGTCCGGTACAAATTTCCCGACTCCGAAGGGGTGAGAGGTTTGCTTGGCCTGGAGCAGAAACGAGGTAGCACTATGCTCGTGATGAGGGACATCACTACTACTGTACTATCCTCTCCTTAGTTCGATAATGTGCGATTTAAATTTTGAATAATTTTGGAATTCGCTTAGAAATGCCTTGTCGGTCATCTTTGATAAATTTAGAACTATAACACAAAATATATTGAAGGGGATAGGAAAAAGGCCTAGAAAACTAGACAAGAAAGCAATCAAAAAGGAAGACTTAAAAATCGCCAAGCTACACAGTTGACGATGCTGAATTAGTTGCGTTTGCTTAGGTATAAGAAGATTTTCGGAAATCTGAAAATGCTTTATACTTTTAGAATGTGAAATGGGAAAGATGACAGAAACTGTTTCGTTGAGCTTCTCTCCACTGCATATCGTGCTTTCTCGGAGCCCCACTTTTGCGGTAAAGGGGCATTGTCTCTTCACATAACGCAGCCTCTCTTGAGGAATGTTCTACAAAGTGCAAGCTGGAAAAGAATTGAAATCATTTGTTCATATCTGAGGGGAATTATTGAATCAAGTCCATTTCGAATAGTCGAAGATTGTCCAACTGAACGGACGACCTTCTTATATGAAGCAGACCTCCTCTGGATCGCAATCGTGACGTTATGAAACAAACGGAGGATGTGCTCTGCTAAAAGTCGCCTGTAAAAATTATTCTAGCCATTTAACTGATTGTTGAAGAAATTCTTGGTCTTGGTCGAAACACCTAAAAAGTAAATTTCGGTTTGAAGAATTAATTATTGGTGCGAAATTCGGTGGGAGCCAGGGGAATAATATGAGATTAACTCGTTGCAGACTTCCGGTATTCCACCTCCCACGTTAGAGTGGAACCGTATAGAAGCAACGCCGGTGGCGATACAAACTGGCGGCAAATTCAAGGTACAACATGGGAGTAGCGGAGACAGCAAGCTGATCATTGAGAAGGCAGGGATTTCTGACGAGAGCTTTTGCTACCTGCAAAAAAGAAAGCTGAATTTTCTTATTTTCAGGTGGATGCAAATGATGCTGGCACCTATGCCGCCATCGCGAGAAATAGTGGTGGAACATTTCAGAGTCGTTTCGTGCTTAATGTTCTCCGTAAGTGATATTTATTATGCACTAGAAGGAGGAAAAAGTAATTTTCTTAAAAAGGATTTTATTTGCGCATTTTTGTGAAGTGCTGTTATGGAAATAATCTTAGCTCTCCTTAATAACCAAGTGTTTTGAAATACATAAAGGATGTCATCTTTTTCATCAAGGATTTTGCAAACAAATCTGGTCAACGGGAAATCTTTTTGTGGGTTTGACATCCCAGCTCTAATTCTCTCCTGTGTTCGTCTTTTTGATTCTCTATCCTGTTCGAATCCTCTATTCAGCTGCATGATTCGGGAAGTTCGTTCCATCAGCCTCTCAATATCTTTGTTGTTAATATTGATCGCACTACCGCACTATTCGTCCGGTGTTCAAATTGCCATCGGGTACCTTGAAACCAAATGAACCGTGGAATTTAGAAAGTGGACGCACAGCCCGACGTTCAGTCGTTTGTCATCTTGGTTTAGTACCTTGCCAGAGATAAATCGAAATTTGAAAAATTCGTAGGTTTTGTTTCATTCATGGTCGCGAATGAACATTCGATCTTACTACACGCGCTCTTGAAATCACCCGGAATTTACTCCACCTAGTAAATATAATGCTTCTTTTGAAAAGAGCGGTCATCAAAGGAGCGAACATGGTGTAGCTGTCTGCTGTTAACTTTCTTTACCACTTTCCACTTCACTTTCCAAATGATGTTCTTGACGGTCGTTTTGAATAATTTGGTAGGTTCTCTTCAGCTCGTGTTTTTGAAGTCTATGTGGAACAAAGAAATTATAGAGCATAGTTCATGAAGGGTTTTTGTGTGTTGAATAGGGACGTTGTGTTTATAAAAGGTTTCTATGACTCTTACCGTTTTACCGTATCTAAGACTATTTATAGTTCATGAAGCTTATTTAGAGTAATTTTGTACTCCCACAATGTTTGAGTGAGGGTCGTCTGTAACCGCATGAGTATTAATCCAAGCTTCTAATTCTTTCGGGACCCCTGCTTACAGCAAATCTACTTCTCATTTTGTGTTCCCGGAACCCACGCGTGAAGTACGCTTATACTTTATCCTTCGTCCAGTGCTCTGTTGATCTTGTTGGAGAAGACTCTCTCAAAACGTTTGTTGGGGTTTTTATGAGGCTGGTTAGGTGCAATCAGATTTTCAATTCAGAACCTGTCGGAAGTGATCTTGTTCTTCTAAATCGTAAACTCTCGATGGACGAAGCAAATGACCTTTCCAATCTTTGCGACTCAAAGTGCTACTATTCTCATTCTGGGATATTCTTTCCTCACTCCTATGTAGTGCTTTGCAAATGCGCATCTAACTTGCTCATTGCTGTTTGCTAGTGAACCTATGCACTTACGTAAAGGCTTTCAGTGTTCTTGAAAAAAATGCGTATTTTTGCCTTTAATAAAAAGAGTCTTCCAGGAAGCAAATAAGAGCTTGGTCTTGTTATTAGCATGAGGATAACAGCGGTAGTTAGTACTAATGTGAACCTATGAATGATGATGAGGTGGTAATTTTTCACATGGTGTTCTGAACTGGAATACTCTCAAGGCGAATGAGGGGACTTACACATCGTGAAAAGCTCAAAGAGCCTCTTATCCTGCTCTTATGATTCCAGTCCCTATGGTTTTTAATGTGTAGTCATTCACAAATTCTTTCCCAACCAATCACAGCATTGAAGTTGACGTCGACGGCCTTGTTGGACGATATTGACTACGTTCTGACATAGAATACGAAAGCTGACCACGCCGGAACTTTCAAGATTCTTTGGACACAGTAGTCAAAATCGAGCAAATACTTGTTCAAAAAAATTCATGGGCAGAACGTATTAATGGGATCAAGGACTCTTTCAATTACTTTGTTGTCGAATGTCCAGAAATTTTTCCTTCTCCTCTATTATTGATCAGGTTCAGCGGATGGCCTTCCTTCCAAAATGTTCCTCATCCTTAGTTTGCTGCTACCACTCTATTAATGTAGTAGATGCACCGAATCGTGACGTACCTATCTTCTAAGTGAAGAGTTTACCATCATCCTTAAGATTTTGACCGCTTTTTCTCTTCTTTCCATTTTGCAATATCAGTACTCTCCGGAGGTCCTAAAATAAGGCGTTTCGTTCACCTTTTATTTTACTGTTTTCTATTTATGAGAGGTAGCCGCAGTGATCGAATTCTCCCGTAGTACATGTAAATCTTATTTGTTGGAGGCGAGCCCTGGCCATCGCATATAAACTTCGAAACCATATAAATACAAGCTTCCAATAGAGTCGACTTGTACGATAATATTTGTTTATACCCCATCACACCTACTTATGCATGTGTGAACATGCCATTTTAAATAGAAAGGTGAGCTTGAGCTCAACTCTTATCCTACTTCGTCAACACTCACTTTCTAAAACCCACGACACATTTTCCTTCCACCACGATGTTTCACGGGTTATATTTCGAACGCGAATGCAATGTCATAAACGGGATTTCACCTAGGAGGACGTTATAATGTCATCCAGTGTATGGTCAATGTTTTCGGCTGCCAGTTTCCATCCGTAAGCTTCTAAGATTCCTCTAAAATCTTTTGGAATTTTAGTTGTAAGGGCATTTTAATGTTAAATGGCACACTGTGTAAAAATTTTAAATGGGACTAAGCGATCGATCAAGAGCTCTTCTATAAATAAATAGAAATTTTAACATCCGGGATATTCTAATGATCGAGGAATGAGCATTACTAAGCGAAATGAGATTTCACGCGAGAAGGTTAAAGCGTATTCTACTAGACCGTGTTCAACATATTGCAGTACTGTTTTCTTTGTAATAGTTACTTGTTGCTGGCCAAATAAAGCAGCGTATTTTGTATGAATGGACAAGTAAATGTGAAGTGTAGAGAAGTGATATGAGATCGTTTAAGAGGCAAGACCACCAGACGCACCGGAGTTCACTGGAAAATTCCAATCAACTACACTGTACGAAGGCGACTCGGTGAGGTTGTTTTGTAGATCAACAGGAGCGAATGTCGTCTACAAGTGGTTCAAGGACAACGAAGAAATCTCCAATTCTGCTCCATTCAAGTAAACCATTTACCTACATATTTATCCTTAACAAATTAATAGTGCCAAAGTGATGTGTCGACCTAGCTTTCTCTGCCCTTTATGTTCATCATATATTCATTCCTTTCTTTCATGTCCCATTCTGTTCATCAGTGAACTTGTTAAAGACCTAAACGCCCGTAGACTTTTAAATCCCAGTCAAAAGTAAATGCTCATTTCGATTCAAACACAACTTTTACCGAATTGTGTAGTAAATCTTGGGGATAAGTTCTTTGAGAACACGGCAATGTTCTACCATAACTGTGCATTTAAGCATAATGTTTTATGCAATACAATTTGTTGTAGTTTGATCACATATATTGGAATTTTTCTACTTACGCAGCTTTAGGATTGAAACGAAAGGCAACGAAACGATGTTGGCAATCGAGAACGTCACTCTCGCCGAGGGAGGCTGGTATCGTTGTGATGCCATCAACAAGCACGGCACCACTACACTCAAGGTTCACCTACAAAGAAAGAGATACCGAGAAGAACTTACTAGTAGTATATCGAGTTTAGGGTCGTGTAGTCGTTCAAAGTCGTCAGAAACTAACTGGTCCTCCTTATAGAGAACAAATCACTCTTCGAAAGGTTGATCGACGCATGGCCAGGTACTAGACTTAAAATCTAAAAAGCCGAAATTCATTCGAAAGCATTTTATCATGGCATGATTGGATCGTACCCTGTCACCGAGAATGTTGTTAGTGTTAAACTTTTAAAACCTTTGATAATTGTGGTTTTTCATGGTGTTAATTGTAAAATATTAGTAGATTTTCTTCGACCCTGTAATCCTGTTTATCGCCGAATGCTTCTAGCAGAGCACGCTGCTTTAATAGTCACTCTCATACCTCGCAGCGTGCATTAAACCTATGTCTTTGAAGGAAGCGAAAAACACTACTCTTACCGTATGAGGTTTTTGGTTTTTATATAATGCTGAGGTATTTGCAAAACTCTGGACCGCAGTTGTATGTGGTGGGGAACGAACGCGCGCTGTTGTCCTTGCCGGGGAGTAGCGCACTTCACCACCACACCATCCCGGTTTTTGGTTTTATTATTTATAAAGAGAATACGGCCACCATAGTTTGCCAGAAACTCTCTTTGGTCTCGATTTACTCAGACGAAGCCGTCGTTTCCTTGTTTAGACGTTAGAACCCAATCAAAAATCACTTTGGCCTAATCATGGACATGGCTGTAACCCGCCTACTTGCAAGCGCACCCATGAACATGATTAAATGAATACAGAAGGTGTAATTCAGTTCAGCGCATTAGAAATGCAGTACCCCTATCATCAGTCCAACTATATCTTAATACAAGTGCAAACTCGGTTTCAACCCACGTTTAGCCCAAAAGCCGTATATCCGGGGACGTCCGCTATATTTCGTTGACTAACCGGATTGAGATACTTCATATCAGAATCATCTATGGGCACGTTGAAAGCGGAACACACCACTCTGTGTTGCATGTTGAAGCAAAATAGGGTAGCAACTATTCGTGTTGAATACATTGGGAAAGGATCGAGCGGGTTGGAAAAAAATTAAGTCTTCTGTTTCCTTGATGAGAGAGCACGAGATTGTTGCCGCAGCATTTATTCATTCACACACCATAGCTGGCGTTTCGGCGGTTTAGCTTTCTTCAGAGCTTCGAAAGGTCAAACTGGTATGCAATGTGCTCGACCAGCTGCTTTCACAACCTCGGCAGATAAAACTTAACACGTAAATTTTCATTCGCATAGAGAAGCAGTTTTTTTTTAAACGCTCGCTCTTTTGTTCCCTGTAAGAGTTCCAGTTATTTGGTGTGTCAGGCGCAGGCCAAAAGTCCGCCTGTGGGATTGTGCGTGGTCTCACAATGCACTCTTTCTTGCGGGTGATTTTTTGTTTTTTGGAATTTTTATAAAATGATTCATGAGTTCTACTCGCTTGTGTTTTCAATTCCTGCGCGAGGATAGTAACTTTTCCTTCAAAATCTTCTTTGTTGTTGTCCTCTGCACGCTGGTGGTTTGTTGGGTTTAGTTTTCAGATTACCGACGAGCTGCTATTTTGTACGGGCGCATAGTAGTCTGTCCGTTTTGCCGATGTATTCTTTTTCACATGTTTAATAGGAGATCAGATAAACCACAGTTGAACTCGTGAAACATCTTGCCCTTTAGTTCTAATGAAATAAGTGCGGCTATGAAATGTTGCTTGAAAAGGGCTGGTCTGAGAATTCGGTAACAATCATGGAAATATCTCCGAACAGCCTCAGACGATAGCTAGTTCTTAACCGTTTTTATGACCGTTTACACGGGACATGCAATTGTACAATTTGCGCTAACGGGAGGTACGGTGATTTTTTACGTTGGGTACGACTTAGCAGATCTTTTCTAAACGAGTACGAAGGCAAATATACTGGCGGGACGGGTAGACTACTCTGTGTTCATATACCAGTACATCTAAACGGTAAGCGTAAAGTTAAAGAAAGTACTCCACTAGGCTCGCATGGGATACGGAGTCATACAGCGGAAGTTTTTAAAGTAAAAGTGATCACCGGCGCGCAGGAATTTAAAACTTTAGTGTATAAAGACCTCAAAGGATTCTGGACGAATTCCAAGAATCTGAAATGCACCGCAAAGGAAATGCCCTGTGATCATGCACGACTTCTTCCCATACCACAGGCTGATTTTTTTACTTGAACCAGGCACATCACTTGCCCATATGCAAGTCTCTGTAGGGTCTCCACCAAATAACTGGAAGACTTCCAAAAAAGGAACAGGTAAGGTTAAAAGGAACTGTTTAATACCAAAATAAAAAATTAGAAATTAAATTGAATTAAGGCAAATCAATCTCGTTAACGAGTGAGTGCTGGTGGTACCGGTATATAGAAAAAAGCTGCGAGAAAGGCGAAAGAAAGGACCCGCATGGCGTGCTGGTGAACGCATTAGTCCCCGGAAAGGATGATACGTGTTCGATCCACATCGCAGATATCCGCGATCTAGAGTTTTGCAAATATCTCACCATAATCAGTTGTAATTACGCATTATCTAAGCGTCAGCTGTGGTGTGTCATTGACTAAATACTAAAATAACAACATATTTGCTCTTCGAAAAACAGTAGAAATGTCTTGTGCTGGCCACATTTTTGGAAATCTTTTTTGAAACCTAGGAATTTTCTTTAATTTCGTAAACATTGGGCATTTCTTTTTTGAAACCAGTGGAGGTTGTTACGTATGAAAGAAGAAGATGATCAAAGACAGCGGAGTAACGCATTATTCTGAAATTTGAAATATGGTCAAATAGGGCGTGTATATATTACGTAGTTTTAATGACTTAAAATTTTTAGGACTCCTGTGAACCAGATGCAAGACGTGGCTGCATCCAAGACGACGCCATCCTTTCAAAGTCAACTACAGCCGTTGAATCTCATCGAAGGACAAACTGCTCGGCTTGAGGTGAAATACACTCCGGCTGACGATCCGAATGTTAAGGTCAGTCAAGAGCATTTACATTCTGGGAAATCGTCCACAACTGCACATCACTAATAATTTAGCTTTTTGATATTTCACTGAAACATCCTTTAATCGTGCAAGGTAGAATATTTGTTCTGTCATAGTTCAAAATAAAAGCAACGATTTTTTCTTTTGTTGCTTTTTTATTCTGCAGTTTTTTTTGAAAACTTTCAGGTAGCATGGCTTTTAAATGGAAAGGCTATTTTGGCGTCATCGAGAGTGACCACCGTAGCCAACAATGGCATCGCCGTGCTTGAAATCAGTCCTGTTACGGTGTTCGACCAGGTACTACCAGTTTCTCTTAATCCGGGCGTATTTGCAAATCTGCTAATCAGTTACGTTGTCAAATCAAATGGATACTACATATTCGGTTGCAAGTGGCTTATACACAGTGTTGGCTCAGAAGTTTGTGTATGGCGAAATCTGAAGTCATGGCTCAGCAAAATGAACTATTTTAACTAGTCACTTTAGGGTGAATACACTGTGATTGTTGTGAATCCTCTAGGAGAAGCTCGCTCGACGATGAATTTGAATGTCATCGGTGAGTACGCTGAAGACCATTGATAATTCTAGGAAACATGTTGTAGATTGAGAAAGCTCTTTGCCGAGAGAGCCTTATTGCTCTATCGAGGAGCGTGCCTTTGCATTTTTTTTTAAACCGGAGCGGTTGTGAAGAACGTTTAATACATAAGACAAACAACGTCACCCTGTCAAGAATTAGTCACTCTTTTCAGTAGGTAACGCATAACGATACCTACATATTAAGTAGAGCGCTTGAAAGGACTTTAAGACATACCACCAATGTTTGACGGACATACCGTAGTCGCTCGAACTCGCCCTTCTTTCTCGAATTCTGATTAAATCAGTTCCAGAAAAGCTTACCAAAGTTTTTCCTATGCAGTCTTCTTATTATATAATATTTAACACATCACTCTCGAATATAGTAGTACAGGTGGCTATTTATGGAACTAAATTCCACCAAAAAATCGAAAAGGAGATTTAAGGTTTCAGCTTTTACAAAACAGATGTTGCAATCAAGAACACAAACATCACATTGGGCAATAGCGCTGTGTTCTCTTGGACGGAACCACACTTGTAGGAATAATTGCATGTTGGAAATGGGTCTTTGCAAAAGGAAAACCAAAGAAAAATATTTTACGAGCTTCCTAAAATCAGATCCTTACCTTGGGAGAAATTCGTAGCCAGTGATTAGCAGATTCTAGTTGACCAATAAAATTAAAACGCGCCGATAATTTTCAGCGTAGAATTTAAAGCGATCGTTATCTCCTTAAAGAATTCAATCTATATGCGCCGTTGTTTATTTAGAGTACTGTATGTAAGAAAGCTTTTTAGGTCACTGTCCCGTCGATCAACCAACTCTCGGCAACAGTTTCGGTACTGCCTACCAGTCACGGAGCACTCGTGCTCCACCTGGAATTCAACTAGGTAGTATGCCCTATAATTGTTATCAATTTCGGGTAAAGTATAGGACGGATAACAGTTATTTCTTAATGCTATTTCCACATTTGATAAGATACTCTATAGAAAGGGTGCGTGTGGCGCAGTGGTCGTAGATGCCCTGCAACGCACACGTAGAATCGATTCCCGCTCCCATGGCCCACCAAGCCTTCCATCCCTCCGGAGTTGGCAAATTGGTACCGGACTTATCTGGGAGCATGGTGCATCCCTCAGGGATTGATCAACGCCGAGAACTTCGTTTTTTTAAAAATATTTAAAAAATTTTTTTTTATTTTTTTATTTTTTTTTAAGCGCTAATAAAATGTTGTCGTAAGAAGGGAACTAGTGTTTTGAAATGCATCGAAATTTTGCCGTGAGATGAAATAGTTCCACTTCAGATCTTCCGAACTTCCATTCGGATTTGCGATCGCATGAGCTGTTCGAGGGACAGCCAATTCATTTGGAAGCGAAATTGACACCACTTAATGACGAGAATCTGGTCGTCGTGTGGTATCTGAACGGACGAGAATTAATGAAAAGTATTTTCATTTCCTCTTACCGCTCAGTCCGTGCACTGCCTAATTTAGTTGTTTGCGTTGAAAAAAACCCTGAAAACATTAATAATTTGTGCGCTATGGAACTTATTCAATAGTGTACAAAGTTACGACGCTAGAAAAAACGATAATTTGAGTGTGATTGTGAGGATTGTAAGGGAAACAAACACGAAATGAACATGTGCAGAGGAACTTTATTTTCTAAACTGCATTAGTATATAATATTCTATTTTTAGAACAGAACATTTCTCTTCCTTTACCAGTCTTGAAAAGAAATGGAAGATTTTGTTTGAAGATGACCGCTGTCGGCAAACCCTAAACCATGGCTTCGCTACACTTGATATCATGGATGCCACCAAGGACGACAGTGGTGTGTTCACCTGCCGAGCCATGAACCAGCTTGGACAAGCCGAGAATCAGGCGACCGTCATAGTGCATCGTCAGTGAACTCACAAAATACTTATTTCTACTAAACTGTAAATCAAGCTTTAGAATTTGCGGTAAATAATCGAAAATGTTTTTTCAGTAAGGCCAACAAAAGACTGGCCATAACTAATCTGTGTCATAACAAAAAATCCATAGTGGTTAGGTATAAACGAGGATTGAACTTTTAACATCTAATACGAAGAAGTCCTATGTAGACAAGAAGTTACGGGGAAGCGGATGACGTAGCATCAGATTGATCGGGCTTGAGGTATAACCCGCGGTTTTTACGATTCATTTAGCGGTTGTTCTTCGATAAATCTAAAAACACGTGAGAAAATGACAAGATAAATGGAAGCAGCTGTGAAGTGCTTATGGGCAAAACTGCCATGTCTATACGCTGTGAATTTCAGCAAAAGTCGATCTGCACAAGTTCGAGCAGAATCGAAATCTGGACGTGGAAGATGTTCGTGAAATCCAGTTCAGTCATTCAAAGCAAGATGGTGTTCCGAAGTTTTTGTCCCCGGTACTGAATGCTTCGTCTTATTTACAATATTAACCTTCATTATCAATAAGAAAGAAAATATCGTCTCATCGAGCACTGATAAACCTGCAATTTTGCTTAGCATAGTAAGTATTTTTCCAAGAAAGAATGGAGAAGAAACCAACTATTTTTACTTAAAAGACCTTGAAGACTATCTTTAACAATAAGTTTTAAAATTGAAGAAGGAGACAGCGATCTACTGGTATTCCTACTTGGATCTCTGGGTACTTTCAATTATTAAACTATTTGAATAAAATTACAGATCCAGTCGTTCCACTGTGATCAGGAGCTGGGCCGATCGTTCTTCGAGGCTCGCATCACTCCAGTGAATGATCCGTCGCTGAGGGTCAGCTGGCTGAAAGATGGACATGCGCTGCCTAACGCCAACAGAATCCAGGTGATCTTCAACACTTACTATACTCTTCCGTTCTTCGCGTTCAGAGATTGTGAATTATCGACGGCATCCATCGCATGTAAACAGTGACGAAATTTTGCATCTGTGTTTACTACGAGCTCTTGAATCATGACTAAAATTTTTAGCTTGCAAAACTTTTCTAACATTCTGTACGAATTTTCTGTCTTATTTAGCCCTTTGAAAAGTGTTCTATTGACGAGAACGCCGACTTTTCATAAGATCAGAGCTTTGTAGCTCCATTGTATTGAAATGTATCAAAGATAAGATGCTGCAGAAATAGTCATCTAAAGAATTGATCTGTTTTGATGACGTTTACGTCCGATACTTAAGTTATGAATGGTCACTATTGGGCAGAAGGCTGCGCTTCTGGTGAGACCATTCCCCTGCGCCGCATTAGTCGGTCCCTTCCTTGTGTTGACGAACCGGTGCCGAGCATCCCTATGTTTTTTAAAATCGAGAGCATTTTGCTTGAACTGAATGCTTGTGATTTCGACAATATTCATCGCATAATTTTAACTCTTATGCAGACGTTCAACAACTTCGGATGTGTCTCACTCTCTTTGAACCCCACATATCCGGAAGATGCTGGGACGTACACTTGCGTTCTTTTTAATGCTCATGGACAGGTATCTTCGTAATTTTAACGATTATGGAAGGATTTTTTGATTTCGGTTGTATTTTTACGCGTAATTTAACAACTGTAGACTTCGAAACTATAAATTGCACTTACATTAAGAGGCCAAATTGTATTACAATGGACTAGACTATCTACGGCATTCCCCGCTAAAGCGGGCAGTAATTCAGCAAAGGATATGGAAATTTTCAGGCACAGTGCTCTGCTGAGTTGACAACGTTAGCCATGCCGACTCTTCAGCTGGATACCAAGCATCAGGATAGCTTGCAAATCATCGGCTATCTTGATAGCCACCAGGTATTTTAGCACTTCTTATTCCCGGGTGGGACATTTGACATTTCATTGAATCGACAATGATGAACGGTTGTGTTTTTGAAAGGGATCAGAAGAAAGGGAAGGTTGCCTAGAAACACCGGCCGTTCTGGTCATGTGGTCGACCACCCATATATGTTGCAGTACTCGGAAATTTCTTCTTTCTTGCTTTCTTCTGGAGCAAATTTTTTGAAAAAAGGAACTGAAAAGGCCAACATATCACAGAGAAAGGAACAAGTGGCAGTTTACCTCTTTTTTCTGACAATAGTTAATCTCAATTCGTTTCCAAATGTTAGCTTTTTCTGATGTCCGACATGAAAATATTGTGAGATGGACGCCTGCTTAGGTGCACATCGGTCCTCAGGAAGTGGACCGTCCGGAGGAGACGCAGTCCCTGGACACTCCACGATTCGTGCGCCCGCTGGCTGAGCGGATAGAGTGCATGGAGAACGATCCGGTGCACTTCGAAGCGCGTCTCCAGCCGGCTAACGACGTCAAGATGACCGTCGAATGGTGGGTTCATCGTCTTATCACTCATCTGCTATTCATCGTTTAAATAGTTCATTTATTCTTGGCTTCTGTTTAGCGTGAAGGGTTTCCCGAAAATCCTTATGGTTTTGTGTATTCCAGTGATTCTTTTCGACCACGTCACCTCATTAATCTTTATAGGCCTTAGTTTGCTCTTCATGTTAATAAAGGAAAATTGGCCGTTAGCAACAGTTCATTGAGGGTGAGGTCACCACACTGAATGTGGAGTGTGTGCTGTCGATGGTGGCATATTTAAGCGCATGATCACTATAGGAATTCTACTTAAAATAGAAAAAAGCAGACAAAAACCTGAGAACAAAGATCGTTTCGTACTTTATGCTATGAACAAGCTGAACAAATTATTAGAAACCTTTGTGTTTCATGTGAATGAAGTGAAAACGTCATGACATACGTAATAAACATTCCTTCACTTAAAAATGATTGTCATCCACGAAATTATCTCGAGCGGTTTTCGCAATAAAACCTCGATCGGGATTTTCTTCGTGTCAATGTTCTTCTATTTCCTTCGTTCTATTTTCTCACAACCTCAATCCTGTAGGTACCACAACGGTGCTCCTCTACCGGCCGCTCACCGATTCCGTCCAATGTTCGACTTCGGCTATGTAGCTTTGGATATTATGTATGCTTATCCAGAAGACAGCGGTACTTACACTCTGGTGAGTTCACTTTCTAGCTATCGCGTTTGTCTAATATTTATTTCAACGCAAAGCGTTTGAGTTTACTTTCGGGGACGGGTAGTGCAGGGATTAGTGCTGCAGTCCATTACGAAGCAAGGCTCTTCAGGCTCAATCCCATTCCAACTCTCTCCTCCAATCCATATGTGAACGCCTTAGTTCAGTTATGTCCAAGATTGCAAGGAGGATTGACTTAACTAGCATTCTGCGATATTCATAAAGAGGACGAAATCCTCAAACAACATTCAAAACAGCACGGTTTTTTTCGAAGACCTGCGTGGACAATGAATACAAGAGAAACGAATTGAATGCAAAAGGTACTGGGATCCGCACAGTAAATGTGATGACAGATCATGTAAAGAATTGTTAGACAGGGGCATGTAGCGCCCTTGTGATAAAACCGCTTAGGACGATCAAGGAAATGGTTAGCTCTTGTGCAGGATGAACTAAATCTGCTCTCCTTCCGCGGTCGAGAGATTAATCCCAGACTTGTTTGCAATCATCTTGTTCCCTCGACTCATAAAAGCTGGGAACTGCCTTTGATGAGGATCTGGGAACGCGCTGTCATGGCTGTATGTTCAGTGGCATTCATAAAGAAGACAACAGTACTTAAGGAACAGACAAGCCAATGCCCAAAATCCGAAGGCATTGGTGGAGTATGAACACGATGGAAAAAATCTGATGGGAAAAGTGCTGTGAGCCACACAACACGTATCTGCTCGTCTAGGAAAAGTGGTAGCCATTGCCCTCTACATGATGTCGTTAATACGATATTAACTGTACTATGTCTAGTACATCAGGAAATTTCAAGCTTTTATAGAACCTCGAAAGGACTATATTAGCATTCAGCCTATTCGGTTACACAATTTCATTAACTCAGTGGAAAATTCAAAAGCCTAAAGTATGATTACATGTAAACAGTTCTGTAAACCTCTAGCGTCTTAGTCTTTCGCTTTCTAGGAAGTAATACCAACCACACCAAGTGCATAGACTCCCAGTCTAGGATTTTTTATGCACTAACCATTTTTCCATTCTTAAGTTCTAGCTTAGGTACAAAATTTTCCTCGAGTCTTCCACTTTGAAGACTGTGGATTGTGTGATAAAATCGAAGTACTAACCTGAGAAACGGTTGTTTCCCTTTATGAAAACAACTGTGATCTTTCTTAATTTTTTCTTCTTAGCCAGTTGTTAATCACTTCAAATGATCTAGAAATCGATTTGCGGTTGAATTTTCAAAATGGGCATTTAAGGTGGCACGGAACGAACTTGGTGAAGCACAGTGCAGTTTAGAACTACTCGTCGGCAGTGACAAAACTCTTTATCTGGATCCTCATCATCCAGAAGGATTGCAGAGGATACAGGTACATGAAGAAATTCCTTCGAAGTCACGAGAAATAGAAGGTTATACTTCGAACGCTAGAGGTTTTGTCATTTTCTTTCAATTCTGCACAAATATGACTTACCCGGAATACGTAACCCCATTTTAAATCATTCCTGTAGAAATGAGGAGGTAGTTTCAGTAATGCTCACAAATTATAGGTAGGCTTTTGCTATGTTTCTAAGTAATTCTCGCGAAGCTATCCCACGTCCAAACGCAGAATAATGCGGACGTATTGAGTATGAGAATTTCCACTGAATTGGAATAAAACGTGGATTTAAGCGACAAAGAAGTAACCCCATATCGTAAAGTATTGAATGAGAACGAAACAATTTCTTTATAAGCTAAGTATCAGACATTTGCAGGAGCTGGAGCAAGATCGTCGCCAACCTTTGCCAGAAATCGAGGACAGGACGTGCGACACTGCCCCACAGATTCTTGGAAATCTGTCCGACTTCGAATTGAACGAACACGGCGATATTCACCTGGATGTTAAGGTAATCGAAATCCTATTACGTTGCACAAAAGTCTGGCGCTATCCTAATTCCTGATTCGAAGCTTGTGTACTTTTACGAAGGAGACATCGTCCGCAGTTGGAATTATATAGGCTACATGCACAGAACCCGAAACTGGCAGCAAATGAATCGTATGGGTTTGAGCATTGGAAAGCGCGACTAGCAGAATATTTTTTGTAAAAATTCAAATTTTTTAACGTTCGCTTATAAAGTTTTGATTTTGAACCTACGAAACAACAACGAAACTACGGTTTTACAGCACAAAGTTAAAGAGCCTGCCCAAATAACAGGTTGAAACCGTATTAATAAAAATCCTCCGCGATATATTGGTGAATTTTTAAAAAAAGCAACGGAAGAAACTAAGTGGAAAGATATGGTCCTTTTTATAGGTGACACCAGTGCACGACCCAACGATGAGTGTGGAGTGGTTCGTGAATGGGCATCCGCTAATCACTGGTAGTCGAGTGAAGACGCTAAACGAGTTCGGATTTGTAGCCCTGGATATCAAAGTTATTTAGCTTTCACACTTTCTATAAAAACTTGGTATTCATCTTAAAAAATGCATAATCTTAGGGAGCGATCGCCGAGGATTCTGGAACGTACATACTCCGTGTTGCAAATGAGAAGGGAGAAGCGACGAGACAATGCAACATCACTGTCATCCGTTAGATTTTCTGCTATAGTCCTCTTTTCCATAGTTTTCTACCTATAACTAAGACAGAACTGCTTCCTCTTCAGCAGCGAGCCAAGTGGTCCTTGACACTCATCACGAAGAATCGCTCGATAAGATCACTTACTTGGAAAGTATGGAGAAATATGGTAGACAAGAAATCGAGGACCATGGTCCCGAAATGGCACCGGTATTTGTTGTTCCTCTGGAAGCAGACATGGGTGAGGTAAGGTAGACTGGTTCCGTTTCTTCTTCATAGTAGACATTAAAAGTGAAACTATTCAAGTGCAATTAATGATAGAATAAATGCTTAATGACTGTGCAGGTGGAGGAAGGTGAGCCGATCCATTTGGAATGCCAGGTGAAGCCGATTAACGACAACACTTTGAAGGTGACATGGCTTCGCAATGGAGCACCCATTCCACATGGTCAGTCAGACATGAGTACTGAATAGAGATCTCTCTAATAATAAAAGATTGCACCAAGCCTTTCGGCACGTGCCGTTTCATCTTTCGACCAATTTCTGTTAAAGAGACAAACAAATAGAATTTCCCAGAAGTTTTCGAATTCCCGCTTTCGAACTTTTTTCCTACTTTGGTTTAATGAAAAGTGGATAAATATGGATGACTTAAGTAAAACTTATCTGCTTTATATGCAAAATATCCAAAAAACATAAGAGTTTCATCAAACACTTTATCCTATAACTTCCTATTAATGGCTGCACATGGTGGCTCAAAGCGAACAGCAGTATAGCAATTAGCTCAGTGGAATGAAGTAGTTCAAATCAGCTGTCAGTACCGAATAATCATCAATTCGAGTTAGAATGTTCGACTTCGAATGAATTCGCCACACGGGAATTTTTGTTCTCTACATTTGGCAAATCTCAAAGTTGTATGAATAAGCCATTTATAACAATACTAATAATACAGTAGTAATAAAATGACGGTGTCAAGAAATGTAAAAAACAAAGGCGCCAAAACGGCAACAGAATCAATGAGCAAGGATAAGCCAATAAGCAAAAGTTACATAGGAAATAAGAGAGTAGCTGCTGCAATAGACTAGTGAAGCAGTGTGAGAAGCAAACATCACACAGAATACAACTCAACCAAAAATACTGAGGAGCAAATGAAGGCGCGGGAGGAGATGAGACCAAATGGTTAGCAGTGAGAGTAGTTTGTGCAAGGCTGGTGATTTAATATGAGAAAAAGTTTCGCATGGAATAATGCTTGACCAAAAAAATTAAAAGGCAAGTTATGGCGGAAAGGTTACATAATAAAATGGAGAGTTATTATTAAGAACAACTGCAGTAAGGATTAAGCAGTAGCTGAGGCATTGGTTATTGGAGCTCTAAAGCATAGCGTTCAACTGCGGCTAAAATTACTACCACAATGGTGTTGAGATATTTGCAAAACTCCGGACCGCAGGTGTGTGCGGTAGCGAACGAACGCGCTAGTACCCTTTCCGGGTTATTACACTACATCCTCAGCTTAACTGGGTTCCATGTAGATTTGGGCTGCACGGAACAATCCGTTGATGGATGATTGCTGACGGCACGTCACCTGTGAAATGTATCTTCTGTCGTTTCTGGAAACCTTTCTTCAGACCAGTGTTCTAATTTGCTTCCAAGAGCTTTGGTCTGAAGATGTAAAGAATATTATAGACAATGATTGTTAACGTTTGAATATCTCTGACATCTTTTCGTCGTTTTTTGTGCCATGACTGTGCCCAGGTAAGTGATCATTGCAGGGCACCGCTTCCGCACCTTCTACGACTTCGGCTTCGTGTCGCTGGACATTTTGGGCGTCTACGCCCAGGACAGTGGCGAGTACACATGCAAAGCCGAGAACGCTCTCGGCTCTGTGGAGACAACGACGATGCTCCATTGCAATCGTGAGTGACAGCCTTGTTCTTTTCTTTGGTACAACTATTCTTTTGATTGACTATTTTATTTATGTATGACCTAATAGTGGGTACGTTCAGCAGTTTTTTTTCCAAATTTTTCCTTAGAACTTTTATTTATTTCTCAAGTTCGTGTGAAATAATGGTTTTATGTGGTGATAAATACCGAAAACCTTAAGTAGATAAATTCACATCTAAATAGAAAGGGTGAGCAACTAAGATACAGATTTCCTTATAATATTCCTATGTACATATGGCACATAATCAAGACTCTGAACGGGCAAATAATTCACACCGGTGGAGACTTGAGAGTGCTGAGCCGTCATAGTCGGCTTTTATTTGCTATATGGGTGGGTGTGCGGGAGGAGGGTGCGCTTTCTCTCTGGAAAAGCTTATAGCTGCGGCAATCGGTCATACCGGCCTTGCTTCTCTTCATGACTTCTCCCTATTCCACTAGACACCATGATTCCGACATTAGACGATGGTATCCGCAAAACTCTGACTTTTTTAATGTGTCAAATCACTTCCTTAATGCAACATTGGAACCTAAAATCTATGGCAGAATTCAATCCAAAGTCAATAGTCCAAGCAGTTTTGAGTGTCCGCCTCGTGATTATGTTGGGCGATCTGGGAATGCCCATATGAAGCTGCTGAGTTTGAGCTCTTCAGCAAAGGAAGCAATTCTTGGCCAAGTACAACATCCGAAGAGTTATCAGCGGATTCAAGAAATAGAAGCACCGAAGCCGAAACCACAGGAGTTACCAGATGCACCAACACAGGTTGGTCTAAGTCTTTTCAAAATGGTCGATTTGTATTAACTCTATATACGAACGGTGAAGCAGTGATTTTTCCACCGGGATACCCATGCAGAACAAAGCGCGATCAGTTATTGGGGTTTATGAACACTGAGAGCCTATCTTGTTATTCCTTTTGTGTTTCTTATAGGTTTCCTGCTTCCAAGCAATTAGTCAAAGCTATTGTAAGTAAAAGTCTTGTTGTCTATTTTTTCGCCAGTTTAGTTAGGTACCATAAATTTTATGACAATCGCACCGACTGGAATTAATTCTGTCGTAAAAATTCCTTTGAAAAAAGGCAAATATGGAAGATAACGAGTGCTCCGATATAGGCACCGGTATTCGTGAAGCAGTTGGGTCCACCGATCGAGTGTGCTGAAGGCGACAACATCTATCTTGAAGCGCAGGTTGCACCAACTGACGACAACACTTTGACGGTAAATATCCTTCAGATACTTCCATTCCTCCAATTATTACAGCCATTTTTTCGTTGTTTTTTAGCGATTTCTTCAAAAAGTTTTTCAATTCTCCTTTTTCTTCATTTTTAATCACGTTTTTTCTTGTCCAAAAACAAAAGTAAGAGGTGTTCACGTTTACAGGAGTCTATGCCTCCCGATCTGAGGTTATAAAAATAGCTTTTTTTTTTAAAAACCTTATCGTTACAAGCTCTAGGAAGCACAGAATGTAGCTGGAGTACGCTGTTTCTATGTTGGTTGAGAATTTTCTACTGGCTATCGATTGTGAAATCTTATTGAGTGTTGTGGTAATTGTTGCAGTAGAGTCGAAGCAAAGTTGCCGCTAGCAGTAGTGTCAGCAAGACTTGTATTTTGGTGAAGGCCCCAAGGTCAAACATTAGTGCGCACTTTCGCACTTTGCCTGACTGGCGATGGGAGTGCGGTGCTTCCATTTGCTTTTCGGATGAAGGCCACAAGATTGTACATGTCGTTACGATCCGATCTGCATGCACTGGTGCCCTGTTAGTGGAATCAAAGTCGGATTATCTGTGCAGAACACCGAAAAATTAGAGATGGAATGGTGTGAACAAGAGATACGGTAACAGCGAGAGAAATGTTGATGTTTCTTTTCAGTTTACATGTAACATCGTATATCAGCGATATACTTTAAAAACAGTAAAACTGTTTGAACTTAGTTGGATTTGGAACACTTTTCATGGTTATTCTCCATTTAGTATGAATGGTTTGTGAACGGTCGTCCACTGATGAAAGCCCATCGCTTCGTCCTCTCGCAAGACTTTGGCTACATCGCACTGAATATCCTCTACTGCTATCCAGAAGACAGCGGCACGTATACTCTCGTAGTCAGGTCAGAGATGTTTCAAGCTGCTCAGTGGACGGCATTCCACCAGCAAACAAATATAAGTAAAAAAAAGGAAAAAGCAGGAAGAAGGGGCATGTAAAAAGTTTTTGAGAACCAATGCTCTTTCGCACAGAAAATTTGAAACTGGATTTTGAAAAGTATGTAGACGACCCTTTTCACATAAACATTGTTTCAACGTAGTGTACCGGGAATTTTTGCATGGGCTACATTACAGAAATGCAGCCGGCGAAGTCCAGTCTAACGTTGACATCAACTGTCGCATCGACGGCGTTAATGTAAGTTCAAGGTTGAATTCTTTAAAACTACTAGGTTTTGATGGTAATTTTTTGGTATTGCATGTTGAGCAAGCTATGATTGAACGTCGTAAACTGTCTTAGAACCTGACAGAAACTTTTTTTATCACATCGCTTAAACATCTGTAGTTACAATTTGTGAAATTGAAGGAATTTCCACCTATTCTAATCAAGCCCACCTTGAAGCCTATAATATGACTTTATCAACGGTATACGGTTTGCTGAACTGTGGTTATCTTAGTACCGTGACTCATTCCATCCGAATTCGCTTCAACGAATCAAGGAACTCGAAGCACCATATCGAAGAGCCGAACCGGCTCCGGAAAAGCCGAAGGAACAGCCTAAGATTCTAAAGGTATTGAATGATTTTTTTCAGTTTTAGAAATGAAGCAATATATAGCCAGTTTCTCTTGGTGCAAAAGTTAAGCCGTGAATATGAATAACTGGAGTGACTGGAAAAAGAGGTCGCGTGTAGAGAGAAGTGGCTAGGGGTGCCTTGCATAAAACACTGGATTGGTCGCTGTTACAATCTCGTGTGCAGGGTCGTTGAACTTTCCATCCTTCGGGGATCAGAAAAGTGTTAACAGACTTGTCTGGGTGGAGAGCAGCACTGTCTTCATGAATCTTCGCCTACCTCAATTAGTTATATAGACCTGACATTCATTCAGTCATCTCTAGGAATACTTGTTGTAGTCGAATGCGTGGAGCCTCACTCAGAGGTTGATAAAAGCTCTGCATTTTATTCTTGAGGAAGCTGAAACCCAATATTCAAAATGTAGAGTACATTAAAGGAAAGGTTAACGAAAGATCTTTAAGGGTACTGGCCAGCTCTTGGAGCTTGAGGGTTCCATATATTCAAGTTTCTTTTGTTCGTGCATAAAAGAGGCTAAATGGAAGACCTTATGCGTTTATTTGCCTACTACTTTTTAGAGCGCATTGTCTTTAAAATTAATATCTGATGGCAAGCACTAATTATGAGGACAAAATTTTTTGTGAGCAAGACGTGTTGCTACAGTGGTCAACACTGTAGATAATATGAGTTTCGGGGAAAACCGGAAGGGGTTTTTGTTTAAGAGAGAGTTGGTGAATTCTGCGAGAAAGCGAAAACCGTCATAGGCATATCACTGTGGAGAACGTGAGCCAATCTAAGAATTTCTTTTGATACAAAACCACTTTATCGTTGATCTTCAGCCTCTTCCGCCGAAATTGGACGTGGTGCACGAGTCGCAGACGTTACATCTCGAGACGCAAGTCTACCCGGTGGACGACAACTCGCTGAAGGTGGGCAGTTCGTTTTTTCGGATGCTATGCTTAAAACAGAACCATCTTAGACGCCTAAATTCTAGTTAGTGGAGATCTGACCTGTAGCACTTATTCATTTCTCTGTCGGGTTCGAAAAGAGGAGTGCCTACTTTGGTTGTTAACAGACATGGTGATTTATTTCAATCTTAAATAATTGTCTGTGGTGAAATCCATTGGAAATTGGAAACATTGGAAAAGCATAACGCATGACTTTTTGCTTCCTCTTTTTTTCGCCGACTTGAAATTTCTTCAAAGAATTCTACGTCACAAGAAATTCGACTATCATTTAGAAATTACTACTTTTCTACTGATTTATTATTTGTGAAATAATGTTACTCTGAACGATCAGAACCGGACATACGAGTTTTGTCTATTGTCACTGGTTATACTACTCAATCAGAACCAGTGATTACACTATTCAAACCTTTCGAGACGCCAAAAACCCTGTAGGAATCATACCTGCTTCAAAACAACTCGGATAAACTTCAAAGCTACCAAGTCTCGCACCATAGTGAAGTGTATTTATCAAGATAAAAGAGACTATAATCTACAGATCTTTCTCAGCAAATTGTTTGAGATTTTTTTTTCTTATTTGATCCTGTAGGGTGTTTCCTTTGCTTTTTCGTTAGTTGAGATTCTCATCGCGAACGCTGAAGTAGTTGAACAAGGAGGATTTCGTCATGGGCGCTGCTGAGATCTACGCACAACACAACGTTAATTTTAACGGCTTTCGTGTTTACGTTAAGACGGCTTGAAAATAGTTTGTCCTCAATGTTAACTGCGTCTCACATGCAACGTCACGGCTCTGAGGAAGGCGAAATCGCCGAAACGTCAGACATCGACCAACAAGAACAACAGCAACAACAACAACGACGACAACGACAACGATGACCTATACCAACCTCGCATCAGCTAAAGAAAATCAGTTTATAGGATCATATAAATAAGTGTATCAACTATCTATGCCGAGGTTTATAGAAAGTCGGTCTTTTGAGTTATTAAGAGATGCTGACACATTTGCAAAACTTCGAACAGCAGGTGTCTGCGGTGGAGAACGAACGCCCTATTTCCCTATCCGGGGCTAGCGCGTTCACCACCACACCATGTGAGTCTTTCATTTCGCCTAGCTCTCAGTTTAGAATTTATCACTACTGGTACTACACTTTGTTCTTAGTTCTCTGTAATAGTGTCTTCCGAGCAAGTTCAGAATTGAAAATTCATCTTACGAATATCATTGATGCTTTGAAACCATGAGGCAAAGCCTCTTCCGTGATTCGATCAACTTCTCGGGCACTCTAGTTATAATAAATTTATCGGCCACCATCGGAAACCATCTTTAAAAGCGTTAATTTTGACTTAGGAATTTGAGTAGTGATCGAAGAATTCCTGAAGATAATTTATACAGCTAGTAGATCCTTAACACTGCTGCCATTTTCTGTGAGGTGTTGTCTTTTAGATTTACAAATATGTTCTTAGTAGTTGCTTTTCATGTTTGAAAGTTCGACGTCTCACACAATTACTAACGTTCAATTTTAAACAGTGAACTGTTCAGTACGAATGGCTGTTCAACGGGCAGCCGCTGAAGGCGAGCAGTCGCTACCGGCTGCTTAACGACTTCGGCTTTGTCACTTTGGATATCGACTATGTGATCGCCGAGGATGCCGGGAAGTATACTTTGATCGTCACCAACTCTGCAGGTCCGTCTTTCGCTAGTCCTCAGTCATGGTCGTTTTCGTAGTGAATAAAACTAACCATTGAATTTGGTCCGGTTTTGGGACTCCTTACTTTTCCAGGAACAGCTGAAACGTCGTGTGAATTTGAAGTGGAGAGGCTTAAATCCATTCTGTCTGAGACAGCTCACCCGGAGTCCTTGAGAAGAATCCATGAGATGGAACAACTTCAACCGGCTAAGCCTAGCGGTAAGTATAAGTAATTATGCTGTTTAATGTCTGATTCCTATTCAAATTGGTTACTGGTTTTTGCTTTAGAGGATGATTTTGTTCCGGAACAGCCCGTATTTACTCAAGCGCTTTCTGGTCCAACTGAAGTGCTTAAAGAAGGGCAGAGCGTTCACATGGATTGTGTTGTGCAGCCCATAAACGACCCAACTTTAAAGGTGTGATTTTTTTGCTTAGAAGCTTTGAACTTCAACAAAACTTTAATTATCACAACTCACTATCTAATAGAGTAATAAAGTTACTGAGAGGTGGGGTAAACAAAGTAAAAAAAAGAACCAGAAGAAGCTTGAAGAGCTTTTTCCACTCACTAAATCTAAAGTCTTTAAGCAGAGTTTAATGTAGTCGGGTGGAACCCAAGATTTCATAACTATCCGAGAAACTTTGTAGGAGCCCTGAGTTTGTCCAAATTTTTAACTTTCAGGATTTCCTACTCAGCATACATTTGTAGGTTCTGCCTACCTTTACTAATTACGATTTAGTGGATTAGCACTACCATCCATAATATAACCTTGCAAATAATGGGGCTTATAGGCACCATTTACTAATTCTCATATTGCCGTGAGCTTTTTGTAAGAAAAATTTAGATCGAATGGTTCTGCGACGACCGTCCGTTGATGTTCGGCTCTCGCATCCGCACCATCCACGACTTTGGGTACGTCGGACTGGAATTTTTGCATATTCATCCAGAAGATACCGGAACGTACACTTGTCGTGCCACCAACGATGCAGGAGAGGCGACCACACAATTTAGGATAGAGTGTAGACGTAAGTTATCATTCTCTTAATAGACAGGATTTAACTGGTTGTTCGTCAGCTGTCAAGAAAACTGAAAATCAGCCACACAACTGTGTTAAAGCAAGCAAGTTGGCTCCATTTCAATTAATGAAAACTGTATTCGACGTGTTCCAGCTCAGCGCAGAGTTCACGGAATTGACATTTTTTGTTACGATTCCACTTGTCATAAAATCACCATCAAAGTGAGGAGGGTTCATGTTAACTTTTAGCAAAACGCAATATCTATCTCGACACCCACCATGAATCGTCTTGGGCGAAGATTCAGGAAATGGAGAATCGCCAGGAAATCCGGGAACCGTCACCCGAAATGTCATTTCCTCCTCCAACATTCATCCAGCAACTTCAGGTATCAGTGTTAAGTCATAGAGCCTCTTTTGCAGATTTCTTTTACGGAAAGCTTTAAGAATTTCGACAACGTCATTGAAGCGGAGGCGATACGCTTGGAATGTCATTTGGTTCCCGTAAATGATCCAACTCTAAAGGTGAAAAGCACTTTCATTTTTTTATTGCTATAAAGAAAAAGCGTAAGGACCTTGTAAAAGGACGGATTACCTCGTTTCTTGCTTTCATTGCAAACACAGCATGCATTGCAATATTCATCGTTGAAGTATACGGCGTCAGATATTCTCCATGAAAGTAAAAGTACAGACCAATCTGCCAAATCGAACTTGGAGTTGTTTTTTCCTTAACTTGTATTAAATACCTTTTATGAGAAAAGTTGAGTTCTGTTAGTTAAATTTTTTTGTCAGGTTTTCTGGACGGTCAACGGCCAGCCGATCCCAGAGGCATCCCGCTTTATGCCTGCACGAAACTTCGACTATGTCAGTCTGGATATTCTTGGTGTGTACCCTGAGGATTCTGGAGTGTACACCTGCAAGGTGCGATAAGTGTTTCTCCACACTACTATTAACAATGGTATTTAATTATTTTTTTATAAGTATTATAATTTTCGTTAGTGATGAGTTATAACTATTTTTACCACTGTTTTTGTTGATATTCTTTTTAATACTGTTGTAATTGCTATTATTATTAAATTATGTCCTCTATAACTCAAAACACCGACCTTCTATGAATCTCGGTATAAGTAATCGATATATTTATATACATTCCTATGAGCTGATATATAACAACAACGACACCTGTTATCAACCTCTCGATAGCTCAGCAAGGGAAGTTTATAAGGATGTGTATAAATAATTTTTCTGCATTTCGATTTCCGACAGACAACTTATTACTGTCCAGTGCTGACGAGAAGCGAAAAACTATTTCCTTGGTGATTCGTTACTTTTCCATTTCTTGTAGTTAAGGTTTTAACCTTGCAGGCTGTATCAGACTTCGGAGAGGCTGCCACGTCGTGCACAGTGAAGTGCACTCCTACAATGTCTCTCTTGCTGGATCCTATGCACGAACAGTCGTGGACCAGAGTACAGGAAATCGAAAACAGAAGGCCTCCCGAACGAGTGTATGAAGAGCCAGAAAAGGTATGCTTTTTGTGTTTGGTGCTGTTATTCGGTGCACTACTGCTTAATCGAGTTCTTCAGACTTAGAACATCCTATTTAGACTCAGTTGAAATTACTTGGAGAATTCTAACATGACGTGGCTTAAAAAGGTTAGAAGTCACTGCATAGTATGAGACGTATTTATCACGTCGTGCTTTCTGACATAAGTTTTTTCTGTTGTTCATCATTAGGCGATCATGCTGCTACCACCACCACCGGTAAAGGCCACAATTTCAGTGGGACTTCTGTTAGTTCTCAGTTCATGCATTTCTTCCCCAAGATTTTATTCCTTGCTACATTGCCAAACTTTCGTCTAATCAACCATTATTCGTTCTCACAGAAGTGTTCTGACAGAATTTCAACAATGTTTTCGTTTTGGTAACCTACTTTCCAAAAGCTTACAGATGCCACCCCGATTCGTCGTGCCGTTAAGCGGGGCGATGGGTGAATTTCCGGAAGGAACTGCTATCCACATGGAATGTGAAGTCGAGCCCACTAATGACAACAAGCTCACCGTCCATTGGTACGTTCTCATTCAGTCCAACCTATTGCGAACAATTTATGCCCGATCATCGAACGGGAATGGAAAATCGGTAGAACAATCAGTGGAACGTTAGCAAATTAGTTGTAGACTCATGATTGTCATTCATTTATAATGAAAGAAATTCTTAATCCATCATGGATTTATTTCTATACCTAAAATGGTGGAGACCTCTTTATTCAAAGCGTCGTACATGCCTTCGAGATAGAATGGACATTGCGAAGTTCATGTTATGGCACAACATGGACTCCCTAAAAATAAAAAGCTTATAAAAATTCGAGAAAAAATCACTCTTTTTTGATTATCGCAACCTTGCCTTCTTCAACAGGTTCCATAACGGCGTGCCATTGACGAACGGTCACCGCTTCCGCACTGCACATGACTTCGGCCACGCTTCACTGGATATCCTCTATGCATTCGCTCAGGATGGTGGAGAATGGACCTGCATAGCACGGAACGAACTCGGTGAAGCCAGCACGGCTGCTAACTTCACTGTGCTGCCCAAAGGCGTCATCTACACGGATCCACAGCATCCGGAAAGTTGGACGAGAATACAGGTACCTTACAGTTTCTGCAAAATCTCTATTTTAGAAGAGTTTGAACAATTAGAGAAGGACATTTCAGTCGGATTTGCATGTGCAGTTAAAAATTAAACATTATTCATTAACACTGTAACATCAGAGAGTAGAGGGAATGCTTTGAGCATTTAGCACACTACGTACTTTATCTATAAAAATCTTTCATTTTGTCATTAACTTTGTCATTGTCAGTTATCCTTCATTTTCAATCACTCTTCCATTACCCAACATCGTTTTAAATATGACAGGAATTGGAAGCACCGAAAGTACGACCTGCAGAAGCTCCTGAGCAAGAACAAGATGCACCACAGTTCCTTGAACCATTGGAATCACTGGTTAGTTAAATACTGTCAGTGAACTACTAAAGAAACTGCAGTCCTATCATTTTACTAGTGTTTATGAGTTAGTTCGAGATTTTATGTGATAAAAAACAAATAATTTTTTTTCAGGAACGCATCGAGTTTCAACCGGCGCATTTCGAAACCCGATTTCAGCCTGTTGCAGATCCCGATCTTGTCGTTCAGTGGTATAAGGATGGACAACCGCTGCACAGCGGAAACAGGTAAATGCAGTCTCGTTTTCGTGCAATTTTGCAATTTTAGTGGTCTAAAGAATTGAGTGTTAAATAGTATTACAAGAAACATGAGGAAAATATTGGTGTTTAAACATACGGTGGCACTGTGATGGGAACTACTGAGTGTGAACGATTCGAGAAATATCGCGAAGTATGCCTGAGAGTTGAAAGTACACTTGAACGTTTTTACAACGGGGCCCATAGCCAACTGGCCACCTTCCTTTATGTAAGGCTAAATTTGCATGAAAAATTCAGATTCAAACTTACATGCGACTTCGGCTATGTCGCTCTCGATATCGCCCACACTGTTCCGGAGGATTCTGGTACCTATGCGGTGAAGGCGTCCAACAAAAAGGTTTTTTGAGAAACAGATAGCAAAGTGCTTTTCTAAATCCTTCATTCTTCAGGGAGAGGCATCCGTAGAGGCAAATCTTTCTGTTCGTGGGAGCGATGTCATTATGTCCGATCCTCAACATGACGAGTCATGGCGTAAAATCCAGCTTCTTGAGGTGCAGATGAGCGCTAATACTATTTTAAAGCAATTAAATTGACATCGTCGTTGAGCCGGTCAACAAAAGAAGGAACACGGACCAACTGCGCGTTTCCTTTGTCTGCATTCTTCAGTCCATTACCGTAGGTAGTAGAGAACTAGACTCTTAAAGGGGGTTTCATGTTAGGACCGGAACAATATGACAGTAATTCCTACTTGTAAGTATTTCGTCCTCTGAAAGAAAAAAAATCCGCAAAATGATAGAGTCGGAATGAGGAGTTTATACTGTAACCAATCGTTTATATATCGGACAAGAAGAAATTGTGTCATAACGTGCGTGCCCAAGTGGCCGAAAAACGTCTGCCTCAATATCCACTTTCATGTAAGAAGGGCATGGGACTTTTCTACATTAGTTATCGGTGTTTCAGTCGATAGGGGATTCTTCATAGATCCTGATGACGATGATCCAGCCAAACTCTTTATCGCTTAGCTAGGAGCTTTAAGAACGTTATTTTCCTATGCCTTAAGTCAATTTTATCCAATATCTCCTCCTTCCATGCTTGAATTTCCGGAACCTTCGGGATCGATTTTTCTCATTTTCGTTTTTGGTTTTCAAATATTTCTTCTTAAAAATTTCTTTGTTAACCTTTCATAACATCCTCGTTTAAAAGTCGCGTTTCAGTCTTATCATGCGCCCAGTGAGGAGGTACCGGACATCAAATACGGCCCACCTAAAATCATCCGTCAGTTGAACAATGTCGAAAACGTTGTCGAGGGTCAACCGGCGCATTTCGAGGCGCAGTTCGAACCGTTCAACCATCCACAGACGACTGTGCAGTGGTTTCTGAACGGAAAGCCACTATCTGCATCAAGTCGAAGAATCCTTAGAAACGACTTCGGTCTTGTTACTTTGGATCTACAGTACGTCCTCGGCGAGGTTAGCACATTCCGTTATGTTACTCTAAGGTCTCAAATTTGCTTCGATAATCTGTAACTCGTAACTCATTATTCAACGAACTAAAACGTCTTATCTATAATTACGCGGACTCCATGGTCAAAGCAATACGTCATTCCAGCCTGCATGGATTCTAAGCAATTTCCTTCAGAATGAAGGTATTGTTTTGAATTTTCAGGATAACGGCGAGTACTCAGTGTTGGTTCGCAATCCAGAGGGCGAAGACCGAACGTCGGGATATCTTTCGTGCTCTACTAGGGCTTCTATACTTGGTGACCCACTACATGACGCTTCCTGGAAACGAATACAGGTGGGATTTTTCAGATTATTTTTCTTCGCTATTTTCCTTTAGGTTCACGGTTCATGTCAGCAATTTCTTGTATTTCTCTTGCGTAGTAATTGCTTGAGCAACTGCTCGTGAGGATTTGAAACTATTTTTGTTGTTTTTTAAAGTTTGGTTACAACGCAAAAGGAAGCTTTTTGATTTTTTTATATCCCCAGGATCACATTTGTTTCATAGTGCTTTTGTGTCAAAGGACCCAAGCTTCCTATATTCTTCTTTGTTGCCTTTTTAATTCACTTTTTTAGAAACTCTCTCTATGCATTTGTTTTGACAAATGACCAACTTCCTTAACTATAACAGTCAGTTGCCGTGTGACTAATTTCGAAAGGATATTTATGGTTTAATTTAGCAACTGCCTTATTTCTATTCCTCTAGCTTCTTTTCAATTTCTTTTCTTTCTCATCCTTTCCCCTTCTCTAGTTGATACCAACTTAGTGTTTCACAACATGCCGTGCCCGAATCAAAAACCGCCAATTGCGAGGCAAAGAAACGAATGGAAAATGTGCTGCTGTCGCACAACTCGTGAAGACGAGCCGTCCAAGTATTCATGTATTTCATAACTTGTGACTATTGCAGGAGATCGAAGCACCACGAGTACCACTGCCCGAACCGGAAGCGCCTCAGTACGGCAAACCTTCATTTACACAACCGCTGCAGAGCATTGCCCACCTCCCAGAAGGAAGTGTAGCTCTGCTCGAAGCTCGAGTTATTCCAATCAACGATCCTAATCTCAAAATCCAGTGGTTCTTTAACGATTCACCTCTTCAGGTTTGTTCATGTCGAAACAGTTTCTTGGGAACATGAGAGGCATCTTTGTGAATGGAAGCCTTATTAATCACAAGAGTCAAAAAATGGAATTTTAAAGAAAAACATAATAAAACAGAATACAAGAAACGTGGTGAGAAGAAATATGAATGCTAGCGCTCATTCTTTTTTTTATCTTTTGAGATGTTCTCTTTGACAGTTTTTTGAACATATGAATCAACTCTGTAAGTCAACACCTCTTCTGCATCTTTGAAGGAGTCTAACTGGATCGCAACCAACAACGACTTCGGCAACATTTCCTTGAGGATCGCACCGGTCTACGCTCGTCACTCGGGAGTTTATTCCTGCAAAGCGACTAACGACCAAGGTGCCGCTATCACAAGCGCATCGATCGCTGTAAAAGGTATAGTGTCAAAAATCACTTAAAATTCTAAGAATGAGAAATGTAAAGTGGAATTTTCCACTTCTTTACAATATTGGGAAGGAACACCTATAACTACTACTAACAGGCTGTTCTTAGTGAACGCACTACAATGGAGAGGTTTTCGTGCAAGTTTAGGATCGGACGGTTTGCTGCTCGACTCCGCTCATCCAGCTTCTCTGCAAAAGATTCGCGATCTAGAGGCTATGGACAAATACGCCCGAATCGAAGCTCCCGAGAGAGAATACGGCAAACCGCAGTGGATTCAGCCATTTGAGGTGATCATTAATGAAATCTATTTTCTTTGTCCGAAAATGTTCTTACCTTTTACCTTTGATTCTCGTGCAGCTGCAGATTTGTAGACCACAAATATAGAAAAATTTTGGTATTCTGAGAAATGTGGAAAATGCCCTCTATAGTTCACCAGGAAGAGTTCACTACTAGTCTGATCGCAATAAAAAATTTATTCAAATGGATATTTTTTCGTACAAAAATGTATAACTTTTATGAAAGTTGTTATTGCTACAGTGAAAATGTATTGAAAGTTCTCAGAACATTGACAACGTTGGCGAGGGTCAAGTGATCGCGTTGCATGGTTTAGTAGAGCCGTCTGGAGATCCAAATTTGCACGTGGAATGGCTGCTAAATGGAAAACCCTTAATAAACGGTTCGTCCTTTACGCCAGCGATATTTCTGGTGTAATCTTTCTTGGATTTACGTTTCGCATGTCTCCTGGTTTGAACTAGTGCTTTCAAATTGTTTCCTTAATGTAAGCACCTAGCTTAAATAAGACCTGTATTTAATAAAGTGTTGAAAGTGGAAGATGATTTGTCGAAATTGGTGGCTGCATAAAAACTGTTTGGCGCTTATAGCGAATCGGTTTCGTCAAGAGTATGAATTTGGCAACGCGATCCTGACGATCGTGCACGTACTTCCACACGACTCGGGCGTTTATACTTGTCGCGCCTACAATCAGAGCGGAGAGGCCAGCACAAGTTCCACTGTGAAAGTGGCAGGTGAGAGTGCTTAACACTCTTCAATTTTACAGTTTTCTGAAAATTTGCAGCTGTGGTTTTTTTTAAATAGTTTTTTTCAAGTCTTTAATGCTCACATAACTTCTGAAAAAGAGAATTATCTAGTGATCCGTTAGATATTGAGATTTCTTCCATATACTGAACAACAAACAAGAATTGTAGTGAGCAATATTGCAACCATTTTTATAAATGTTTAGGTAACAACATACCCTAAAACTACTGAAAAACGCTTTCGAGTTCATAGATGTACTTGAATACTTTTTTGAAGTACTCATCTTCGCCAAGAATTGTGCTAACCGCAACACATTTTCCATTTGGCATATTGTTCGCAACACTTATCTTTAGCCCATTTGAGCCCATCCAGGTTATTTCTAGTTCGTCACTAAAGGCGCTCTCCGGTTCTGGTAGATTGGAGAGAGATTTGCTATATTGCTACCAGGTTTCTTCTTGAACAGTAGTAGTGATCACTGGAATTTGTTAAATCTTAGCTTATGAGTTGACGGTTTACTTTTTATTCCCCTCAGAGTAAATCCTAATCCGCTTTCATTGTCCAGGATACGAACGACTTTTACTTGAGCCTCAACACCCGGTTTCTTGGCAAAAGATTCAAGAACTTGAGGCGCCTAAGGTGAGTGACTTTATGGTAACAGCGAATTACTAGACACAGATGCTTATTTAATGTCCCGATTAGTTTTATTTTTGTACTAATTCTTCAGAAAACTATTCACTAGAAAGCTGAAAATAAAGGAGAAATCCATTTGTTTTTCGCAGTAAGCGAATCACTTGCAGATTTATCAGACACTTAATAATTATTCAGATGTAACTGTTCAGATTGTTGAAGAAGTAGAGGAGGTGGTTCATCGCGAAAAGCCGAACTTCATCACTCAGTTAGAATCCGTTGAGGGTGTTCAAGAAGGTCAGCCGATTCACCTCGAGGCGACATTCCAACCAGCCAGAGATCCTGAGTTGAAGGTCGATTGAATAATCTCGAGCCCGTTAATTCGCTTTCTCAAACGTCATTAGTTTAGGCTGTTTGGAAAAAGAACGGTCAGCCTCTGGGGGCGTCACAACTCATTCAAACTCATCATGAACTTGGCTGGGCGACTCTGGACATTTTGTCGGCCAACGAGGACCACAATGGTAATATCGAATTTGTGCAAAGGATCTTTCTAAAAACTCTTTTCTCTTACGATTTTTGTTTAGCAAACATGAGGTGTTATTTTATTTCTTTATTTACGCATAAGATGACGTTTCGGTGGATTTCGCCTTCCTCAGAGCCTAGAAAGGTCAAGTTAACTGCAATTCATCCGCCCAAACACTTTCAATAACCAAACAGGGAGAATGCTAAACCAGCATTTTAATCATATTGAACACAAAATAGCGTCTTTGCATATTCATCGCTTTCCACGAGTGAATATGTCACGTGGAGACCAACCGCACAGAGTTCAAATGGAAGCGTAATGTGCCTCTTGCATTAAAATAAGAGGCTCAATTACTGTCCATTATAACGCGTGATTATGAGGAATTCTTCCTTTCGGCTCATTTTCGGATTCTTGGAATTAATCCAGAATGCCTCGAGAGTTTTGCGCGTTTGTGTTCTCGATTCCTGCGCTATCATTCCTCTTATTCAAAACACCGAAAAAACAAGAATCTGGGTGCGGCGTATTTAGTATTTCCCACTTTACTTTTTGTAGGCATTTATACTTTGACGATTTCGAATCCGGAAGGCGAGATGGTGTCGACTGCTTCGGTGAAAGTGATTGGCAGCATGCCCGTTCTCGGTGACACTCAACACGAGGAGTCTTGGCGTCGAATCCAAATTCTTGAGGCACCGAAGGAACCGTCGCCAGAAGCACCACCTCCCGTTTACGACCCACCAAGCATTACTACGCAGATCAATGATCAGGTATCGTTGACTTTAAAATTTTTCGTGTCGGAAATTTGGAGCGAAAAAAGAATGTTTATCGTAGGAATGCAGCGAAGGTGATCATGTTCACTTCGAAGGAGTTATTCTTCCCGTGAATGACCCGAATCTTACGGTGCAGTGGTTTCGCAACGGTGAGCCGCTGGCTCACGGTTCAAAATACGCTATTAATCAAGACTTTGGCATTTGTACATTGGACATCGCTTACGCGTTCCCTGAGGATCAGGTTCGTGGTATTTTAACAACTATGAGATATGATCCCTATAACTTAAGTGAACATAAGAAAGCGATCTAATTAGGTAAAGAAGGGGCGGACAACGAAGTGGTATCGTTCAGTATGCGGTTTGGCCTCAGTTCGATCCTATCACGTGCCAGCCAAGTTTCCCATATTTTTGTTGTCGTGAAATTGGCACGAGATCTGTCAACAATCAACTGGCTCCCATCCATAGAAGAAAGCTGGCAATGGTCTGTCATGAAAATATTGAAGCGCTGTAGCACGGCCATGCCAGAATTCCAGGAAGAATCTACTAGAACAGCATTCAGCGCCATTTAGAAGACAAAATTTCCCAAACATCAGCTGAACTTACATCCAAAATTCGAATGCTCACGTAGGTGATAGATGAGAGGAAGCGAATATAATACAAGAACTGCCTGGAACTGCACAGATGTGAAAATGGGTCATACAAAAACAAAAACGAAATATTTTCCTGGATTACTAAGCTGACCTAGGGTTTTTATAAAAGTTTTATTCGGCTAGTATTTCGGCGCAATCGCCTACCTCAAAACCGCATTGATCCGAGTTTATTATCCACAGCCTGTCATTGTCGTGGTGTAGGTCTTTCTAATTGCGTTCAGCGAAATGGAACGCCGCTGGAATGAGCAACCTCACTTAGCTGTGGGCGAATGCGTCGCTATGACATTGTCAAGTGGCCAAAAATAATGTCCGTCCTTGTAATTGTTACTGTCCCACGAGCTCAAACCTAGTCAAACTGTTGTGAAGGCAACTGTGAATGCTGTCAAATCATGGGCTTGAAAAGGCCTTCCAAAATAGCGGTGCCGAAATAGCTTGAGAACTCGTGTACAGGAGAGTTTTGATGACAAGGGAAGCTGTGGGCACCCATTAGTATTTGGCAACAACTTCTAAGGGTGGTAGTTGAAACCAACCTTAAAAAACCATTCAAAAGACTGCAAAATAACGCAATAAATGGCACCATAGAAAATTGGTTGAGAACCAAGAGATCGCCGTTTGGGCACTTCTTGTCTGCAAAAAAGACGAACTCGACGATTCAAGTAGTTGCATTGTGGTGTGCCATAGAAAGTCCGTCCGTTGCGAAACACTCAGCGCAATAGTTGGACTGAGAATGAAGCTTAGAAGTAGTTGCGAAATCCGAAATTACGTCACGAGAGAACGATTTTGTTTGCTTCGTTGTCGGGGAATGAACTCATCTGCTGGAGCGTCTTGATTCCTGGTGAAGCTACCACAGCAGAGAAGGACTGTGAGAGAATCAATGCAGTGTTTTGAAAAAACCTCGCCGTATTTATGTTACCAGCTTTTTCAGCAGAGATCGTTCAACATCTTGCAAAATAGCGCTCGACCACACATGGTTAAATTAATGCAGCAATTGTTGAGGTCTGGACTTTGAAACTCTGCGCAATCCGCCATATTTATCAACCCGCTTGCTAAAGTCGGCCACCACTTTTCTATACCTCTCAACAGCAGCTGGTTGGGAAAATCTTCAGCAACGACTCTATTACTGGAAATATCTTCTCTGCTTCCAGCACTATCGAACTTTTAACTAACTTGCGAAGATCTATGAATTCGACTGCGTCTTATTCCCTTTAAGCACGAATTATAGTAGTTCAAAGTTACCTTTGAAAAACGTCCATTCTTTCTTAGGACCGACCTAACATTTACCTGATGTAGATTTTATCCAAATTCGGGCAGCATAAACAAAAAACGAATTTTTCTATGAGCAGACAGTTTGTGCCGTGAAAAATAAACCAAGTCTCTCTTCCAGTTTTCTCTTACAGAAGTTCCAGTTGTTTACCTCATGAAACTTGCTGAATCTAATCTCGACATCGGTCCTGCCCATTCGCGATTTACTTCGTTATTTTAGGGTGTTTACCAGTTGAAGGTCTCGAACGCACAGGGTGAAGCTGTTTCATCGGCCACGCTGAAATGCCACGGAAAAGACGCTATTTTGAGTGATACCCAGCATGCTGAATCCTGGGCTCGCATTCAGAAAATCGAAGCGCCAAAGCCAAAGGTAAGGGATCTGATATTCGTGAACACAGGAAGATTATTAGGATTACCAAAGTCGGAGTGGAATCTTTCACAAAAGAAGGATAGTTTGAATTTTAACACGGGATTTTTGATTTATTGGGAACATACAGGAAAATGGAGGAATTTCCGTTTCCAAAAGAGCTCAAATTTAAATGAATTATTCTGGCTCTCTTTTGTGTTCAATGTTCTTAGATCAATGAATTTCACTTTAGATTTTTTCAAACAAAAATTGGACGATATCTTGGAGTCATTGAGCCATTACACTTAATGTCGATGGTTTTCATCAGGTAGAAGAAGTGCAACCTGCTCCGAAATCTGCTCCAATGTTCACTGTTCCGATCAGTTCGCCTAAGGAGTTGGTCGAAGGGCAACCGGCTCATTTCGAGGCAACCATCGAGCCTATCGACGACCCGAAGATGCAGATAACCTGGTATCTAAACGGCGTGCCAGTAAGTGTTCTTTAAATGATCCACTAGTTTCCGGCGCAGAAGTTTGGATCCTGGCTTGTCGTAATCTTTATAAGTCCATTTGTCGCTGCTTTGTACACAAAATTCTATTACTTTACTTGAGTTCGTTAAAAGCATGCAGCATTTTCTAAAAACTGGCTAACGCTAAACTTTTTTTAGAAGGAATTTATGGTACAGGGCAAATGTAAGGTTGTAATAGCTTTGACTTATTGGTGATTGTTAGGACAGTGGTATGCGTAACATACAACAGTGACTATGTAAAGGTAGAATCTAACAATTGAAATCACCTACATGAAGTAAAACACCTTGATTGATTTGACGACTATAAAGACGCTAATCGAACGAATAGGATGATGAATAAGAGGACTGCATAAATGCAATCTAGAGCAGCTGTAGCCTCTGACCTTCCCAGAAGCACACGCTATTAGCCACTTATTCAACGTGCGTTAACGCATCGGGACAAGAAGGACCGTTCATAGGAAGATTTTTGTTACTGTGGAAGTTCATTAAATAGAGACGGTGAAGCTAATGCAGAAGGATCATAAAATTGGCATGGGAAAGTCTGCAGAGAAATCTAGACTGGAAGATTTTTAAGCAGTAAAGATAAATGTCGTTAATAGCCAGTTAACATAGGAAACAAGCTGTAATACGCGAAATAAGAACTATTCGGGGGAGTGGTTGCTTCAGATTTCTTGATATCTCATATTTCTCAATCCATGCTTATTTCATCGGAGAAATCAGATTGACTACATTCTCCCGTCGATCGCCGAGTGACTAGAGCGCGCACCTGTAAATCTTCCTTTTTTTTCCTGTCCCGTGCAAGAGTGATCCAGTCATTTCTGCACGCTCTAGGAACTCGTTGAGTATTATATCTTTCTTCTAGGGTTTTGACGAAGAATTCGATCATTGGGTCGATGGTCTGCCTATTGTTCATTTGACATTCCGAGGAATCCAGTCATTAACGGTTCCTGTCCATCGGTTGTCATTCATACGCATTACGTGTCCGGCTCACCTTATCTTCAACTGTTTGGCGTACAGAACGGTACCTTTGATTTTCGACCGTTGACGCAGGTCGGAGCTTCAGATTCCATTCCTTATTTGTGTGGAACGGGAAACACCTAGCATCGTCCTTTCGACTCTGCGTTCTATAACGCTGTGACCTTTCATTCTGCTTGCGCTGAGAGTTTACCGCTATAAGAACGATGTCATCAGCAAAGCAAAAATGGCGTAATTGCCGACCGTCAATTTTCATTCCCATATTGTCCCATCCAAGTGTTCGCATGACGTTCTCGTGGGTAATGGTAAACAATTTTGGCGAGATGATATTGCCTCGCCTAACCCCTCTTTGACATCGGTGTTGCAGGAACTCTGTGACTATCCAGTGCTTCCATGACTGCTTCTATCTCAGCTGACTCAAAAACTTTCCATAAATTGGTGAAAGTGATACAAAGCAGGCTCCATTACTCTTGCGGTACTTCATCGAGTTTTGCTATCGTGTGGATATGAACTGCTGTGCTGAATTAATTTCGAAACCCTGCCTGCTAACATGGCTGTCCTTTGTCCAGTGTTGTGTCAATCCTGCTTAGGATGACTCGAGTGAAGAGTTTGTAGACGACAGGCAGTAAGCCGATTGGACGATAGTTGCCGATATCGTGGTCACACTTCTTGAGCAACAACACAGACTTGCTGGTTTTCCACTAAGTAGGAACTTTGCATTTCAACACGTACTTTTTATTTCATACGACCCGTCTTAACGTCTACGGTGCGGATCCCAGTGCTTCTCACATTGGATTCGTTTCCTCGCGTCCATCATCCACGATGGACTTCCAATTTTTACATGTGGCTTCGGTTGCTGCTTGGGGATTTTTCATTACATCTTGAATGCCGTAGAATGCTGGTCTTGTCGAATCTTCCTGGAGTCCTGAGATAGCCGGGTTGGAGTGTTCCTAATTGGATTACAAAGAGTGATTTTTTCCTGGACAAGTTCGGCACTAATTCTGACATGTAACGTGTGGACATCTGAAGCAATGTGTTTAGGAGGACTGACAGAAGGTTCTTCAAGTGTTCGGAATCTATACTGTAGGGAGTAGCTAGATGTTGTTCAATTCATCACCGGCGAAGTAGCAGCTCTAATTTCGGAAGGGAGCACTAGTGGGTCAACATATCCATCTTCCTTTAATTCACATCAGGGCAGGAGGACATGGCTATTGAAGAGGTCTGAGTAATGATCGTAATGAGTTTCTTCATTGCCTTTCTGGACGCTATAACTCTTCCTTCTGATCGTCGGAGTGCAATCATCTTCGTTTTGGCTTTTAATTGGCGAAGCTTTGGTGGAATTTCCGAATGCATTTCGCAGATTCTGCAGCTTCGACTATAATTTTTGCTATTCTTTGTTTAAGATCTTCTTTTATCGCCTGTCTGCATTGTTTTGCAAGTTCGGACGTTAGTTCGCGGTTGCCTGCAGCTCGTGCAATTCCGCGCAGGCGTGGCCCGAGTATTTCTGGAGACAGACGTCTCTTGGTGACTTTCGAATTCTTAGCTTTCATAAAGCTCACGTGAAGATGTCGAGTGAGCTGATCGTATTTTTCGTCGGTTTCACCAAGGAACTGCGTCTTCCCAACAGGCAACTAACGAACTTAGTGAATCCCAGTTTGTAGTGGTTTTGCGTTTTCATTTTTCGAATTTAGCGATTTTTCTCCTTTCCGTGAGAAATTGAATCTTGCATGAAGGTGGGATGGTCTAATTCCGTTTAGAATTTCAAGGTATCAGCGGCAACGATTTCAAAACTTTTGATTTACTACGATGTGGTCTATTTCGTTATGGTACCCTCCATTGGGAGACTGCCACATCCAGTACTGAGAGTGGCGCTTCTGGAATTGCGAGTTACCATTAGCGGTCTTTCTCTTCATGATAAGCTCAGACAGCCGTTTACCCCACTCGTTCCATTCTAATCCACAGGTCCTAATGTGAAGTTTTTCAGACGTTCTTCTAGATCCCATCTTTTCAATGAAGTCCCCAATGTTAACGTTGAAAAATGTATGTTCTTCTCTGTAGAACATCTCCAAGTCCATATAGAACGACTCCTTTTTATTTTCTCATTACTTGATGTCGGCGCTTAGAGGAGGATGAAAACTGTCAAAAGAAGTGTTGATCCACATTTATTCAATTCTTAACATCCGATTAAGATTGCTAGTTGTTCTAGTGAATCGATGTCTATGACCAAACTCGTATTGACGAGAGCGTCCCGACTCCTCCATTGTTGCATGTTCCGAGGAACAGTTCTTTCCGTTGTCATAGATAGAGTTGAATTCGTGGCGTCTTCTCGTCTTAGCCAGTCCGATGGTGTCGTACCCTATCCTTCTTGCCTGCGCTATCAAGTCCTTTATAGAGAATCTAGATGCAAGCGAACGTGCACTGCAGACACAGATTGTCACCCTAGTCCTTTCAGATTTAGGTAGCTTAGAATAGCTCTGAGACTTTAGCGGACTACTTGCCTTACCCAACGCTGCCGAATAGTGGTCTGTTTCGGGGTCAGGGAAATGAGGCCCGTTTGTTTTATTGTGTTTGGCTTTTTGATGCCTACGTACTGCTTGCTGAGCTCTGAGCGAGGACCTGGGTACACTCATGGGTAGCTTGCCAGTTTCTCCCGGAGTAGATATGGAACTTATTTTTGGGTGGCAACACCTAACCGTGTCCTAAATACGTCCCTGTACATGACTGCAGGCTTTTGGTCGAATTGACTCGTAGAACACAATCTACATGCATAAATACGTCCTCATTAACACAGGAAGTTTGTGCCAAATCGGAGCTGCGGGAACAGATGGTCAAAATCCTAAATCCACCTGCATTTCAGGCAAACATAAGGTCGCCTTTAGTCAGCGATTAACCCTTATCTTGCATCTAAGGACGCGCCAACTTGTTTCTTGACTAATGGGCACGAAATTCCTCTACAATGGAGATCTGTCTAGTATATCTTATATATTAGTATTCCTTCTATGAATGAACTAATTACAAGAGTTTGCGCAGCGAGTAAAACGTCTCTATTTTCTATAGAATGTCACAAAATGCATCCAGAAGTTGATATGTTCTCAGATTCCAAACTCGTCTCGCCAAAAGATGATCAACGACTTCGGTTGGGTGATTATGGACATCAACCAAGCAGAAGTGCGTGACAGTGGTGAGTGGACGTGTGTGGCGAAGAACGAGGCCGGCGAGGCGAAATGCAGTGCACAGCTTACCGTCATCGGAAAGGAGAACATAGGTAAGAAAATGAGCATAAGAAGGTGAGAAGATTCACGAACGCTAATACACAGTCGTTAATTAAGTGAATTCTGAAGAATTGATGAGTCTGAATGCTTTCAAAAGCTATTTCATTTCAACTTACAGTGCTCGACTCACTGAATCCACAGTCTCTGGAAAGGATACGAGAGCTTGAAGCGGAGAAACCAGCCATACCCGAACAACCGGCGCCTGTTTATTCAACACCAGTATTCACTGCTCCACTCTCTGTTCAGGGAGTACTGGAGGAATTTGGCAGCGCCCATTTACAGGCCCAGTTTACACCGATCGACGACCCTACTATAAAGGTAAGGAACATTGTTAGAAAAATCTCCTACTATTTGTCTTCAGTTAGACAATTTACGTTTTTTTCTACATTTTGCTAGATTATACTATGCGTACTAGTGGAAATGGGTAAGGGTTTTACTGCATAATTAACAGACCTTAGCTAAGACGACTTTTCGGTTTGTTGGACTGGCCAATTAAAGGGAAATACCTCCAAAACTAAGAGATAACTTTCTTATCTATTTGTTCCAAGACGGCACTAAGGCATATTCTGCACCAAACACTATCTACTCATCCTTAACTTTTTAGCTACTGCCTACTATTTTTTCACCATAGGATATAATGTGAAATACAACCACAATGTTGCTGAGATATATGCAGAAATTGGACCTCATCCCAGATTCGAAGTCGCCATTACCTATCTCGGGGACTCGCATGTTACCCACAGCACAAATTAGGTCTTCGCTTTGCGTTTCCTCAGCAATTTTTTTCAACTTAGTGGTGCCATCAACACAGAATACTTAACTGTGAGAAAGTAATAGGCAGTAAAGAAAAAGTTGGACACTGTGATTTTGGCTACAGCTTCAGCTTAACTGGTATCAATCCCGATTTGTGCTCTCCAGGTCATTCCCGTTCACGGGTGGTTTCTGATGGCAGCCTTAGGGAAAAATGTAGTCGAGTTAAAGGCAAAGCAATGGCCTCTGTGGAGCAGTAGGTAACACGTGAATCCTCAGAAAGAGCAATCGCGGATTCGAATCTGGACAGGGGTGCAATTGCTGCAAATATCTGAGCATTATTGTGTACTATAAACGTATACTATTCAATTGGCAGAGGATTTTTCAAAGGTTTTCCAATATAATCCTTTTTTGCCAAATTGTTTTATACTGAAATCTTTCCTGCGGCACTTCAATTTCGTTTAGGTTGAGTGGCTTCGCGACGGTCAGCCGATCTTCCACTCGAATCGCTTCAGAATGGTGGACGATTTTGGATTTGCAGTACTTGATATCATCCACCTACTTCCTCATGACAACGGGGAGTACATGTGCAGGTGAATTCGTGATCATATAAGCAATTCAACATTCATCGGTAGTTTAAAAGGTAGACTCTGCATATTGGATTTTTTTAATGGATAAATTTTGCTCAAAGTTGAATTCTGTACATATTTACTCCCTTGAAACTGTAGTACAATTGAAGGAAGTCGGAACGGTCGCCGTTTCCTTCCGTCTTATAAGCGCCAATAGAGTAGAGCTTAAAACAAATGAATAATAATAGAACCTATTTTTATTGGGTGTAATTTACCACATCAATAGCAGGGATAGTAAAATGAAATTTTTAGCGTTCTGCAGGAATAAAACTTTTACTATTAGTCATTTCCAACGTACTTATTTGCAGAGTATCGAACGCGGCCGGTGAAGCCGTCTCTTTGGTGACCATCAATGTTGAACCCAGTAGTGGTCTTATTCTTCATCCTCAAGTACATCTAAGTCTTTGCGAAACCGCTCTGCAGAGATTTTGCAAAATCATTGTATTTATGGTTTCAGAACGAGCAGAAGGCAAAGGCCGTGGAGGAATTGGAGGATTTCCTTCGTCGCCGTCCTGAGGAAGTCGCTGAGGCGATAAAAGTAGCCCTTTTCATATGCACTTCATTCTCACAATTTAAACAACTGTTTAGTAGAACTACCTCACTTTTGAGGAGTTGTGTCTTTATAAAACGCTGGAAATGAGTTATGAATAAACGGATAAGACGCTGAATACTATTTAGGAGGCGATGCCTGTATTCATCGAACCGCTCTCTGCACCAATAGAGTGCGAAGAAGGCGATCGGGCACATTTCACTGCCAGATACGAACCACTCAATGACAACAAACTCCAGGTATGAAAATTTTCAGAATTCAGACCCACTTCTACCACGATTTTTGTCACTAATGTTGGTTTACTGCGGTCTTTTCAAGTTTTTTGAAATTTATTTTGCCTTCTTTTTTCCCTACCATATGGTGTCAAAGAACTTCATTAGTACCTGTATTGTTGGGTGTGAATGACCAGTTGGAAAAAAGATCTCTTTATGAGAATGGACGAGGAATATAAAAACGAAAACCCCCAGTGGTTGTGAGACAAGTGGAGAACGTTTAGTGAAAAAGCATCTTGAACTCAACCACCAAAAAACAATTTGAATGAATTTTATAGTTGGTCAAGTAGCGGACTAATTTTGCACCTTATGCACGTTTTAAAGTGGTGCATGAAGCACGAAATTAATGCGTATTAATCGAGGCGCGAAAGTAATCTCAATACGTGACCTTAGGAGGAACAGATACTAACTTGGCCGTGGTTTTTTATAGATAAGTTGACCTTTTATATTCCCAGGTACAATGGTTTCATGATGGTCGTCCGCTAAAGACTGGGTCCCGCGTGAAGACAATCAACGATTTTGGCTTCGTTGTTCTGGAAATCAGTCCAGTCTATCCAGAGGACAGTGGCGACTACTTGTGTCGTGCTTTCAATAATGTCTGTATTTTGTAGTTTACATAAATCTGTAGTTTTACAACAATTATCCAATGCTTATGAATCCTTCGTTATACGTTTTAGGTCGGCGAGGCCGTCACGAGCACAAGTCTATCGTGTGCACCAAAAGAGCGAATCATTCGAGAGTCACAGCTTCCTCAGTATATGTCAGGTGCCCAAGCACGAATCACGGAGATAGAGGCCCTGCGGCCACCGCCTGAAGAAGCGCCAGAAATGGATCATGGACCGCCAAAATTTACCACACAACTTGTGGTGAGAATACACTGTATTGATGCAAATGCCGTTGTACATTGACATTTAAATAAAACCAGGGATTTATTCGTTAAATCATGAGATTCTTCGAGCTTAAAAATGAAGAACGATATTTCTAATACAATAAAAGAGTTTAAAATTGTTGAATAGTTCGTTTTCAAACTACCCTTTTGCATTTTTAGTCTCCTCCTGAGCTTCTCGAGGGACAAACAGCTCATCTGGAAGCACAGATCACGCCTGTGGGCGATCCAAATCTCAAGATCGAGTGGTTCCATGATGGCAATCCTGTGAAACACTCCAATCGTATGAAGGTAGAGTAACTAAAAAACCAAGAAATCTATGATATTCTGAATCTGCCACGCTTTCAGAAACAACTACGCATGAAAGTTGATCCTTGTGATCTGAGGGAAACAGTGTCATTACTAAAGTGCTTTACTTCATCCAAGAAATGCCTCATAATTGTTTTAAATGTTCGCATCATGGATGACAGTAAATCTGATCATCGTGATTACTAATTGAAAATACCTAATTAAAAATGTAAATGTAAAAATGGCCCACTGAATTAGGCAATGTAAAGTTAGTGGAGAAGGGTAGAGACAATATGATGGCATAGAGTTTGCAGGTGATTCATGACTTTGGTTTCGTTGTATTGGAGCTTTCACCGTCTGAACCACAAGATTCGGGTAAATGGACATGTCGTGCCACGAACAAGAACGGATCCGACGAAGTTTCTTGTGACATCAAGGTATGTTGGTACTGGGCGAAAAACCAATTGGGGATCAAAAGGTCGAAATGTTTCTTCCGATCTTTTTCTTTCCTTTCCAGATGTTGAAGGTTTCCATCGATCTAGTGAAGAAGTAATTAGTACAAAATTCATTGATGGCAGAACTAGGTAACCTCTTAAAGTTGGCTCTTTCCAGGTTGTCGGGACTGGTGGTGTGTCGTACGAATGGCAGTCTCCTGCCGAACGGAAGGAGCGCATCACCGAGCTGGAGCACTGGATCAATAGGCCAAAAGAGGAACTTGAACTGCCACCTGTAGACTATGGACCACCTCGATTCACGCAAAACTTGACTGACTTGGGCACGGTTGGGTGTAATCTCTTTCTCAGTTCTTTTCTCCACATGTTTTACCATCTTATTGTAGGCGAACATAGGTGTAGTTCGAACAACGATTCTTCCAATAAAACCCGTTCTTGCAAGCTGCTTACCCCTGCTGCAACTTTGGCTGTTTCCAGCAGTACCGCATTCGGAACTCGTTCTATGTTTGAAAACATTTATTTATCGTTGTGACCCTACTTTACGTATACAAAGGGGCTTTGGCACTTCTCTCATTGTTTCGTTATTTTGAATTCGTCATCCACGAAGCTCGTAGGAATTGCGTCTGGGTCCGGCCGCTACTTGAAGATACAAATAAAGTCTTCTTCACAAGTGTCATTGGATGCTGGTCGCACTATTCATCATCACGACAATTGCCAAGTATTGTAAAGCAAAGAAAACTTTCCCTTTGCATGTCTGGTACCAATTTGGCGACCTTGGGAAGAGGTGGGCTTGGTAAGCCAAGCACTTTACCCAGATGACTTCTCACGTCTTTAGAAAATTTTCTTAGGCAATAAAAAATAGTGAAAACTTATGCGATTATAGTGCATCAGTTTTCTTGGAAGCTTTCTTTTAAACAGTGCTTTTAGTTGAACGAAGCAGACGCGACGGCGTTCGTATGTGTACTCGAACCAGTCGGTGACCCGACTCTCCGAGTGCAATGGGAACACAACGGACTTCCAATACCATACTCGAACAGGTTTGTCTTCAGAAATCCATGGGTTTGCCGAATATCTTTGCTGAGACGAAGTCCACATTTAAACGTCTGTTCAAATGTTTCTCATCTAGGCCTTTGACGATGACCGCTTTGCTTAGTCAACATAAGCCATCCTTGCCCATAGTTTCATTTTTGTCCTAGGCGTTTAAGTATTGCCCGTTTTTACCTTGTCTCACTGTTTTCTTTCATTTTCCAATTTTATATTTTTTTACTTTTTTCTATGCGTTCTCAGGCTATGTTCACCTCGTTCCAGAATATCATGTACTAATGAATTCGGCGTGGCTACGTTGCTCATCAAACACCTCATCACTGCTGATAGTGGCGAATATAAATGCATAGCGACGAACGCGAAAGTATAAAAATTGAAATCTTTCACAATTTTTTTTATTAAATGTATTAAATGTAGTTTTCTAGGGAACTGCTGAGACGGTGGGGAAAACTGTTGTAGAGTCCTTGACTCATATCGATGCACCACAGATCGTTCAGCCACTCGTAGAGAACATTGACTCCACACTCGTAAGAACTTTCATTTTGCATTAATTGATTAAAAGATTGTCTGGACATTATCGTATTTCAGGAAGGGGACTCCATCCATTTAGAGTGTCGACTTATCCCAATGAATGATCCACAATTAAAGGTGCAATGGTACAGGAACGGCCAACCACTGCCCGAGGCTAGCAGGTTTGTGCGTGTCGGCGAGTGAGATAAATATGAAGTCTGTGAAAAATGGGACATCCAAGCTTTAGAGAAAATAAAAAGGGAATTTAGGAAAGGTAGTTAATCTTGTTTTTTTTAACCACGAAAAGCAATCAGAAGTTAAAGCCATTAGAGTTAAAAAAAACAATTCAGCTCCGAACTTGTGAAGAATCCCATACTCTGCTTTCAGTAGCAGTGCAAATCACAAAAAAAATCCATCAGATTTAATCGGTTACTGTATCGAAATAAAATTTGATAAGTACGAGATGACGAATTTCTAGGTTTAAACCGCTGTTCGAATTTGGATTCGTGTCATTGGATATCCTATACGCCTATCCTGAAGATAACGGTGTTTATGAACTCGTAGCTACCAACGACAAAGGCGAGGCTCGTACAACATCACAGATCACGGTACCATTTTTGGGTTATTTTCTTCTTCTTCTTTTTTGAAAAAAAAAACGAAAAATTGTAAGAAAAAGATTGGTGATCAACTGAATCCTATCCTTAGTATTACTATTAGGTCTTGTGTTTTGGCTCAAGTTTTCATTCTGTGATTAATATTTCATAAGGGTAAGAATACACATGACGCGCGTGTAGTGCAATGGTTAGAGGAGTCCTACAAAGCATATCGGTGTAATCCTGTACTCCGGCTCACCGAGCCTTCCATCCCTCCGAGGTCGCCAAGTTGATACCGGATTTGTCTTGCTGGATAGCAGTGCTGTCTTGATACGTCGAGGCATACATTCAAACACCCCTCGCGATACTTGATGAAGACGAATGCATGGCGCATTCCTCAGCAGTTAACCAACGCCGACAGCTTTAACTTTTTTTTATTTAAGAATACACATGAACTGTCTCATTTCTCTTATTGGTCAATATGAAATCAGTTAAAATTATCTTGAAGTAAACAAGAATAAAGTAACAACGAGTTTTCATCTATATCAGCATGTGTACAGCATTTAAGCATATAAACAAGCAAGAATGTCTTCAAAAATTCAGGTCCTTCCTCGACCGGCACTAGACTACACTCCTCAAGCAATTGGCGGTACTCGTCAAGACAATCTCGAGTCCCACTTCCGCCAATATTCCACCCAAGTTTTACAGTTGTCCGCCGAGGACTCCTACGATGAATCTCAGAAGCGGTAATCATTCTTTTAGCAGAGCTTTCTCACTATATATAGACTAGCTTGTCAACAGAAAAAACAGGAAAATGTCAGTTTTACCCGATACCCACTTTTATATTCTTGGGTTATATGGAAAGTGAGGACACGCTGAAAACATGGAAGGTTTTAAATAAAGATTTGGTTATATTTCAAACGAAAACTCGTGCATTCTTTCGAATCATTGCTCAAAACCATTCGGCGAGATATGCGTTAGCAACTGGCTGAAGGCACACATAACAATCACCATGGTGGATTGAGAGCGTATGACAATTTTCGAGTTTGTGCGAAATATCGTAGAGGAGCTTATGTAGGTTACTTTAAAGTCGATGTTTTGGCTTACTCATCCTAATTCAGATAAGACTACAATGATGCTAAGATATTTTCAAAACATAGACTCCGAACCAGATTGAACCACGATTACCCTTTCCGAGGGGTCTCGTATTACACACTGCACCACGGAGCCTCTTCGTTTGTGTTTCTCTTAGCTAGTCTTCTACCTAACGCTGCTATCAGCAATCACTCGTCAGCGGGATTGATCTGGGGACCACAAGTCGGTGTTGAACCCAGTTCATCTGAGGGTGTAATCAAAATCACAATGTTAACCTTTTAGTTTTTACCTAATATCATAATTTTTAACGGCAGAGTATGATGTGGAATACAACAAGAACACCGTTGAGATATTCGCAAAACTTGGATCTCGGGCCATATCGAACCACCATTACCCTTTCCTGGAGTTCGCGTATTACACACTGCATCAGAGTGGCCCTTGTTCTGCGTTTCTATCAGCTAGTTTTCGGATAAGGCTAGTTAATCACGAACATTGCAAGCGCTCAAAGTGGCTGAGACTGTTTTTAGGGTGATTTGAGTAAAACCTGATGAAATATTGCAGTTATTATGATGTACGTTGGAATACAATTGAAGGAAATAAGGAATGAAAGTGTAATATTTAATTAATAGAATGACCAGACAAGGATCATACCAGTAGCCACATCATTCTTGGCCTGGCAAATTTTTTTTTGGATCTCGTAAATTTCTATCCCTGGACGTTTCGAGCTGCACTGATGTCGTTTTTTTTAAAGTCTAGTGTTTTAACGCACCAATAGTTCTTGGTAGAAGAAATGCAAAATTCTTAGAGCGAAATTGCAGGCCTCCTGAGTTCAAGATTCCGATGCAGAACATAGGAGTAGCCGAGGGTGAATTCTGTCGCTTCGAGACACAAGTAGCTCCTATCAACGACCCATACATGAAGATCGAGTGGTTCAAGGACAAGAAACCTGTGCTTATAGGTATGTTGTATGGCGGTGTCACTCCGCCGTCCATATTCGATTGATCTATATAACGAATATATGGTGGAAGTCTTAAGAAGATATCAGTGCCTGAATTTACCGGACATTCTATTGAAAAAGTTATTATCAGACTGGTTGTGACAAGTGGGCAAAGGAGAGGCTTTTATTAGGATAACAAATAGTAGCTTATAGGGTAACGACAAGAATATGAAACTAGATGAAAATGAAATATTGAAGAAATTCTAAAAAAAAGCAATAAGCAGGGTACGAGTGACTAATTACACGAATCTGGGTCGAATACTGTTCAGGACATCGGTTCCGGTCGACGTTGGACTTTGGATTCGTGTGTCTTGACCTCCTCTACGCGCTGCCCGACGACACTGGCGAGTACGAATGCGTGGCCACCAATAAATATGGTCAGCACCTTAAATTATTAGGCATTGTTTTCTTCACATTTCTTCAAAATTTCTTTTCTTAGTATCCTAATTTTCTAATGTTTTTTCGTGTGCCCATCGTAGTCCGGAAATAGCAAGCGATGCAAGCGCGCCATGTTCCTGAGATAGGGATCACTCAGTAGCTTGATATTAATTTTCCAGTTCAAAAATTGTTGAGCTTCGAATCAAACAGTAACGCGAGCTGGAGGGTTTTTGTGTGGTTCTTTGAGCTTCTAAAAAATTGTTGAGCACAAAGTCGTTTACGGCTTTGGGAACATTTTCATTTTTTATTGAAGTGAACCGAAAAAGTTCTTAGAAGCCTTGGAAGCTTTTTGTTGAATTCGAAGTAGTTTAAGTGAAAGTCGGCTTAGAGACGATTTTAAAGTGGTTTTTAAATTTATTAAATGTTTAAATCGCCAAATTAAATCGCCAAAAACAAGACGCTAGCGGTTACTTATATTATAAGAAAACATTTGAATAAACAAGCCTTCGCTGCCGTTCGCAAGGACTGTCTCCTCACCCAACGAAGATAAACTTGGACACGGAGTTACAGTCTCTTCTTGCGGCGTCCCGTTTTGCACTTCTGATGGTGTTCTTGACGTGTAGTCGCTCTTTGTAGCGCGTCCGTCTATTAAAACACATGATGCAGTAGAAAGAAGGAAAAATAATTTTTTGAACTATCTTCTTTTACTTGAAGGGCATGCGATCATTGGTGCTAAGTTGGCGTGCGAAGGCGGACCGCATGTGATCACCGAGAGCCAGATGCCACAAGGAATGCTGGTGCATAGTGTGAAAAATGACAACACGAAAATCCACTGGTGAGCAGCAAGTTGTTGTCGTATGTGGTAGAAGAATTAGGAAGGTACGAAGTTAGAAAATTGAGATCGAGAAATAAACGGTAGACTATGCCGATTTGCGCTCCCCAGATCAACCCCGCTGACGGGTGATTGCTGTGGCAAAAAGATCGATAGAAATAGCTGAGAGACGTGCGAAACAAAGGACCCGCATGGTGTGGTGGTGAACGCGTTACTCCCCGGAAAGGACAATAGCGCGTTCGTTCCCCACCATAGACACCTACGGTCCAGAGTTTTGCAAATATCTCAGCAACGTTGTGGTTGTATTTCGCTTACTTAGTAACCTGCCATGAAAATTATAGAAGGCAGAAAACAAAACGTTAAACAAAACGGTAGACTGTTACCACTTTCCACTGAAAACGTGGAAATGCTGTTGCTTTTACAAATGTTTTCTACGAAGTAGCACTGGACTATAAGGTTTCTAGAACTTCGTTTCTCAGCAAGGTTAAAATTTATCCGATGCATATGTTAGCTTATCAAAGGGGAAGTTTTCGTATCATTGAAGCACAATATCAAATTCCTTCCCGTATCATTGATATACTGAAATTGTGAGCTACTACCACCGCAACTTTCCAAAAGATCACTATCCCTGGAAGTGGGAATGAAATGAATGTGTGGTCGTTAACGATGTTAACGATAGCGAATTCAGGAGCGAACAGGGACAAACTCAGATCCGGCAGAAGCAGGCACCGCAATTCACAATGCCACCACGCAATCTTCAGGTATGGGCTCCAACTGTTTTGAGGGTCAGAAACTTCATGTATCACTATTTCAGGTCGTCGAAAATGAGCCGGCTCGGTTTGAATGCACTGTCATTGGTAATCCAAAGCCTAAGGTCACATGGTACATCAACGGGAACCAGGCATTACATGTTGGTTTAGGCTGTCTTTATTCTGAAAAGCTTTTACAGAAATGGATATGACTTGTCACTTCGTGGTGAATTTTTTATCTTTGCTGATTTTGTAAAAATTAACTGGCGGAGTGGTCATACGGTTTTATAATAAAAGGAGTAGAAAGGAAGCGCACTAAAACAGGCAAAGAGACGCTAAGAGCATAGAGTTCCAAGACAAAAATATTCTACACATTGAAGCAGAAGTTAGAGAACTCTATTTCGCCACTGTTAAGGAATTGGGACGTCGTAGCCTCTATTTTCAGGGTCATCGGTACAAGCTGAATTACGACGGCATGCACTACCTCACAATTAGCAACTGTCGCATCTCAGATGCCGGTGAAGTGGTAGTGATAGCCAGAAACAGCGAAGGAGAAGTGCAAGCCACCTGCACGCTTGACATCTTCCAGGTTTACCTACTTTTCTATGGATTGATCTAACAGTTAGGCCGTCACGGTCTCTATTTCAATTGTTAAGTTATACGGAGTAATACGGTCTATAGGATAAGATAGTGCTGCTTAATATTGAATGACTGGGTTATTCTCAGGTACATATGGCTTGATATCAATTCGTATCTCTGTGTTCCAGAAAAAGGATTGGCGGCAGAAAGAGCTCAAGCCGACCCAATTCGTGACGAGTGAGGAGCTACAACAACGACAAATTCAATGGCATAAGGTTTTTTGAACGAATTTCGATGACTTTCGCAACTGTTTCGACCAATGTTAACACTTGGATCTTCTAGGAAACCCTTGGCAAATTGGGAGAAGCGTTCGAGGCGGCTTCGAAACCGGATCCACATAAACTGATGAGTATTGAGCGGTAAGTTTTTATAATCTTCTACCAATGAGGGCTTACCTTAGCCTCTACATATTTCTGTTCTCATTTCTTTTCAATTTTGAAGTGTTTGGAGATATAGCAATATTTGAGTAGTCACATTTCTTAATTTTTTACTCCTTAAGAATTGTTATTTGACCAGTAGGTGTATTCCATGTTTCTGTGCACAGGCTCTCTGATTTCTCTGAGACTTTGGTTTCGCACAACGACTACCATCGTTATAGGTCCCATACACCAATCGAACCACTCGAGACGGAAGAGCTTCTGCAGAAGTTCACGCGTCCTCGCGATGATCAATTCTACAACCAACTCGCATATGTAATGTTTTAATTGTTTAAAGACATAATTATGTGCTGCAATTAGCGTTTGCCGTCCTAAGCAAGTGTTTGTTTCAGGTCGAAACCACAAAATCACAATTCAAAGGCATGGAACTCGAACCAGTTCACCTTAAACCGGGTCAAGTCGAAAGATACCAACCACCAAGGGAAGAGATGGAACCGGTAATTCATATTTTATAGGAATTGAAAATCAAGAAGGTGTTGATTCAAGTACCATTAGTCTTGTAATTAGTCTTTTAAATATTAGGAAAAGTAGATTTTAAAGAATTCATCCGAATTCTATTTAAGATTTGCCATCATTCGGCCTTCAATGTTATTTATAATAGGTGGTGCTTCGTGCGGTTCCCACTAAAGAGAAATTTGTCCCACCAGCAGAACAACCAGACTGGGCAGTTGATGGGGGTGTTAAATTACCTGGAAATGTGGAAGGAAGGTTCGTAGAGAATCTATTGCAATGCTAAACATGTTCGCCATAACTCTACACTTTATTGTAGTAAATCATGCGGATTTTTGAGTGGCTTCTGTTTCTGCATTACCTTTTTGCAGATTCAAGAAGCTATCTACTCCACCAAAAGAGGTCGATATTCCTGCTCGGGATCAAATCACTCTAAAAACGGCTAAACCTAAACCAGCATCTGAGGTAGTCTTAGTTTCTTGTTCTTCATCGGGTGCAATCACGAATGCTCATTTTGAGCTCCAAAGAAAATTTATGCCATCAAAACAGGCATATAAGGAACATCTAGCTGTAGAAGTAGTAGTTGAAAATGGAACTGAAAAATAATTGCGAAGAGTTTTACAAGCTAAAAGTCTAATGAAGGACTCTAATAGAATCTTAAGTGAAACACTTAAAAGTGCTACGCACCACAGAACTCTCCCTCAGGGTTTCAAGTAATTTAAAACAAAACTTTATTGACGAACATGAAAACTGTAATATACCAGGTCGACACTGGCGAACATGTTCGAATTGCTGAGGAGAAGGCGAAACTGAAGGCCGTTCAGCAAGGACCTGAGCAACCGAAGAAGGAGATCGTTCCACATAAGCAGCAAGTTGAACTCAAGGTGAAATCGGTGTCGGTTCCCAATACAGACCTCTATACATTATTAGCTTTTAATTCGAGCTTTCTCGCCGACCTCAGTCACAGAGCACATTTGTTCTGATTGGCCAAACATCACAATTGATAACGTTTATTTATGTACCACATTCAAGGCACAATCCCATAATACAATTTTTCACCTAACTTCAACAGCCCTCCATTTTAGTATAACCACCCCTCCCAGAATAACCGCACCTTACAGGCGAAGTTTGCTCCGATCGTCGCGAAACCAGGCGAAAGTGTGAAAATCGAAAGTAAACCGCTAAAGGACACTCCGCCAGTGGAGAAACAGCCTATTGCTTTGAGCAGTATGAGTAACAAGGTAAGCCGAAGGCAGTCTTGCTGTGCATGACATGATTGTATCCCAGCATGATCAGAATAGTACTACAACACTACCAGCTTCATCCTGGAGAAGAATTTGAGTGTATTGTTTCATGAGTGGGTGAATTTGAGTTTGTTTTTGAATAAATGTGGATGTGTTTTACGTGTGGTGTGCATTCAATTTACAGCATCATGTGATGTATCAAGCGTATCGTGAATCCCGATCTGCTGTATCCGAGTCTGCCATGGAGCTTCTAGCTGTCGAATTGGGCGAGAATTCTGTCCAACGTTCTGTATATCAATTCTCACCAAGACCTCGCGAACGCATCGTTAGTTACTACATGTTCCGGGTCGGTAACATTGTTTCTACTCTTAGTTGTTGCATGTTGAATTGCTCTTCTCGCACGTTCTGTTTGTGAAAAGTAAACTCGATGCTATGTATCGAACAGTGAGGTTGTTAGTGTAACTTGTATTAGGTACTGTGTAGTTTGTTTGACTCTTTAACTTACATTATGAAACCGTTATTAGTTAAGATATTATACAAGAATATAGCGCTTTGTAGCCTCAACCAACGAAGATTGGCGTTTCGAAACAGGCTCCACCGATGGTATCAGAGCATCTTAAGCCGATTCAAGGAGAACCAGGAAAAGCTGCAAATTAAGTCTTCATTTTAGAACTTTTGCGGTGGAATCCTTGGGCGTAAGCATTCTAGAACATGGCAGTGATTTGCTTTATTAACTGAGTATATTCCTGCCTCACTCACATATTCACTAGAAACATGGCAGTCTTTTTTATAAGCTACCGTCTTTACTTGTACTTTAGTTCTCAATATTTAATTCTCGTTATTTGGAGAGCTCCTGTCGAAGAGATTGGTGTTTAGGTTCTACGTTGCATTTGATGGTGCTGCCCCTATTAAGGTGACGTGGTTCAAAGATGAAAACGAAATCAAAAGCAACTTCCGGAACCAGGTCGGCTCTTGACAATACGCACGAGTTTTCTAGGGAATACAAGCGGGATTTCAGATTACAACGACTAACAACAGCTCAACTCTTCATATTGGTCGATTGGAGAACAACCACGTTGGCAAGTACCTTGTTCGTCTCGAGAACGTTGCTGGAACGGTATGCTCAGTGTCTTACGTATATTACTGACGAGTGAGTAACCTAAATTCAGGTTGAGACGTCGGCCAATCTGACTTTAGCAGCACCAGTCGATAAAGGGAAAGCGCCAGATTTCACTACGAAGCTTAACGACTTGCGCATACCACAAAATGGTCCAGCTGTATTCTCATGTACCATAAACGGTGAACCTAAGCCGACGGTGAATTGGTTCAAGGTGAGTAAGTCCTATATCTTAAGGTTGTATTTAAGTCAGTAATACTTTTACGCATGGAGAATAGTCTAATGTGAAATTAAAGATGAAATCTCAGCAATAATCGATATTTCAGCGATATGTTAACGCTTGACTAGAATTTTACTCTCTTCTACCTTTATGAGATTTAGGACGGTCAACCACTGCCAAATGATGGTCGCTTCATTGCCAATGAAGCTAACAACCAGTATAAACTGTCGTTGAACAACACGTTGCCCCAGGATGCTGGTGTCTATGAGTGTGTGGCGAAGAACACAGCCGGCGAGGCAAGGCGAGTGCATTTCTTAGAGAGCAGCGCAGCTGATTTACGCTTTTCCATAAGATCTAAAGCACAAGGAGAACGATGTACGATTAACAAACATCAACAGGCTTCCAAGTTTTGTATGTGTGAAATCACAGACATAGCATTTGTCGTGAGCATTTCAATTCCAAACCTCGCATTTGCGGGTTGGCAACGACTTTAGAATGTAAAAAATGTTTCCAATTGCACATGTTATTTATGTTTTCAAGGAAGAACGGGCGAATGTCGGAGGAGGCGTTCAATGTTTCAAATAAAGTGAAGTGAAGTAGTCTTCCTTCTTGAAAAATTGGATAGCATAGAAATTCTTAATGTGGTTCTATGGATTCCTAAATACTCCGCCTGTTAAGAGGATAAGAGATAATTCTTTCGTCATTGATTAGTCCCTGCGGGATGCGCCATGGGTTTAACTTTATCAAATATCGTAAACGTCATTGAATGCGTATTTAATTCATGCACTTTTCATGAGGCATACCGATGCATAAGATTAGTGGCGTTATCCTCCGAGACAAGTCTGGTATTGTTCTGCCAACCCGAAAGAGGTAGAGGATTTGGCTTTCCCAGGGTGATGATCGATTTATTTTACATAACTCAACATCACATTTTAGAGCTAGAGAGCAGGGTCTATGTTATCCATCTAGAAGAAATTCTGTCTACGCTGTTCAATGCCTGAGGGATGCCCCATGCATTCGACTTCATCAAGCATCGTAGAAGTGATTATATGCATATCTGGCCTATTCAGTAGCTTGCAGAGGCCTACCGATGTATTTCTTCAGTGCCGCTATCCTCGCCGACCAACTTACCAATCTGAAATGGATGGAAGACCTAATGAGCTAGGAGCTCTGGTGCGGAATCCAACTAACCACCAAAAAGTGTTTAAAAGCAAAAAGCTTTGTGTTAAAAAGTATCTCTAACTCTCCTTTATACACTCAACACTCTCCTCCTTAACTTTTTAAAAAAGAGAACTTTCACCATATCAATTAAGGACCTATCGTAGCCGAGTAGTCTTGAAGCTGAAGCTTGTGTAGCGCAGTGATTAGAGAGGCCCTGCAGTACACATAGGATCGATCCAGTGCCACAGGCTCACCAAGCCCTCCATCCTTCTGGGATGGTGAAATTGGTATCAGATCTGTGAAGGAGGATATTAGCACTGACTCGACGCATCGGTAGATGACGGGGACCAATGAATAGGCCAAATATGTATTCATCTACCTCTAACGATGCTTAATGAAGTCGGTTGCCTGGCGCGTCTTTCAGGGATTGATCAACGCTGAGAGCTTCATCTTTTAACATTTTTTATCTCTGAAGCGCTTTCCTTTGAAGTATTGGTTGAAATTTAGATGTTCCGTAAATGGTGACTGTTTTTCTCTTTCTTTCTTCACATTTTTGTGGATTCATTATCGGTCTTTCAATTGAAGATTTACAGCCTTTTATTCTTCGAGATTCTTCTAAATTCTGCTCTATGATTTTTTTCAGATGCAAGGCTCGACTGAACGTTAATCTCATCCAAACTGGTAAAGGCGCCGAAGCAGGGCCAAGATACGAAGCGCCTCGATTTACTACGCAAATTCAGCCATTGGTGGCTGATGAGGGGAAACCAGCTTCGTTTTCTGCCAAGTACACCGGCTTTCCTGGTAAGGAGTTCTTAAAGGTATTCTTTTAACTTTCAGTTTATTAAGTAACTTTTCGCTCTCAGAGCCAACTATTCGATGGTACCGCAATAACGAACCGATCAGGCGATCTCCTCGCTGTGAAGTACGTTCTCGTTTTATTATTAAATTTTCTGATCTTTTTTCATCGTATTCAAGTTAAAAACGATTAAGTTAATCATCGTTTTTGCTTTCCTACCGTATCCGGACGGATATCTACTATCGCTGTAGGTAACTCAGTCGCACGATGAAGTGACACTGAAAATCTCGTCCTGCCAACAAGAAGACGTTGCTGAATATAAGGTTGAAGCAAGTAATCCGGCCGGAAAGGCTTCATCAGTGGCGAATCTAGTCCTAACTCGTCAGTTTGTTATCAACAGCTTTTTTTTATGATTCTAATCGATATTAGCAAAACTGAGCTGCTAATCTTTACTTTCACCTACCAAGGATGGAATATATGGATTTAAATTTTTAATGCAACGTTGGCTTCTAATATTTCTTTTGCGATCCGCTTAAATTCGGTACGATTTGTAAGTGTAGGACTTATTATCCAGTGAATATGTAGCCTCTTTGTACACACCTATACTTTCATTGGTCTCAACTTTAAGGCAACTTTTATAGCGAAGGTAGGCCGAATCACAAAAACGACCATCACAAGGGGTCGAACGATTGCGACGCAAGACATGCCAGCTTCTGACGCGCCACACTTTGTCTCGAGACTCAGCGACATATCTGCTCGACAGGGTAGGTGACGTTCTAACAAAAAGGATGGATTAAACGCAATAAAGACGAAGTGTGCCTTGTCCTTCAGGCCATACTGTGAAGTTCGCATGCGACATTGATGGCAATCCGATGCCAACAGTGCAGTGGCTGTACAATGGAAAACCGATTGCTGCCTCAAAAGACATAAAGGTTAGATAATCAGAATCTGAATGAAGCGCGTTCATGACAGTTCTTTTTTGGGGGGGGAGTACAGTATGACAGCTGGCTGAATTTGCTAATGAGGGGTAGGTTGAGGTTTAAATTCACCTAGATATGCATTCGTACCAATAGAAAACAGTGTAATTGGAATTGTTTTTCCCTCAGTCAGGCATTTTTGGCGAAATTTTCTTGGTGATTCTACAGAAATAATGGAGTTGTAGGACAAAATAGTTGCTAGGAAGAATTTATAGTTTGCGGCGTCGTTTGACGCAATGTTAAACTATCTACACGTCTGTGCACAAGATTGCAATATGATTTCGCCATTCCAGTCTAATGTATTTCTATGTTAGTAACTACGGCGCGTCATCGCCACTAAGATTGTAACATCTTTCACTATAAGGATTTGGAGAACAAACGCTTTTCGCATTCCATTTACAAGAGTTCGTAGTCTAGCATGTCGTTTAAGTTCCACAAACCCTATCAAGAATTCATTCCGTACTCTCTCAGACCTCACTGGAAGGAAAGCGTGCGATATTGGAAATCTCACGAATAACGTACAACCATGGCGGCGAATACCAGATTATGATTCGAAACCCGAAAGGAGCCGCACAGTGCAGTGCTCGACTCACTCTTAGTTAGTTTCTCTTTCTAATAAAATCATACGATGAACCTGCGCCTTCCACTTTGTTTTGTTGTTTTTATCAACCAAGTGTTTTTTTCGACCTTAACCAGACCATTGCCTGCCTATTATACCCTCTTCTCCATCTGGTCGTTTTCTATCCGCTTTCTCAAATAACATTTTCACGACTAACCAACCCATACTCGTATGATTTAGGTCGCTAATCGCCTATGCTACCAGTCTACTTGGACGGACCACAAAGTTCTCACCTAGTGAAATATGTTCGTACTTGCAATGCAGTATTTTGTATATAATAGACGTTTTTTACTATTTGGTAGCTATTGATGTTCTACGGTGGTCGTCTACGTGAGTAAATCGCTTTCTTCTTCCGACACGCTGCAAATTCTCACCAGCGAATTTTCCTAGGTGTTTATTTAGTCCAATCTCTAGTTTTTTATATGCCTTGTTGTAAATATCTGGTGTGTATGAATGTTTGGTGATTCGATGCCTCATAATGTATACCTTGTTCTTCTTCTGTTGTTACTTTCATGCTCAGTGCCTTGGGTGCTTTTTCCTTTCTAGTCAGTGCCTTAACGTTTTTAACTTTAATAATTTCGCTACAGTTTGTTTTTTCAGTTGTATCTGGATTTTGTTATTTCTAGCAGACCATGTCTCAGGCTTGCTCACTAAGTAGTAAACATCAACCCATCTTTTTTCTTTTTGAACATATTCTAAGGTGTTGGCAGAAATAACACACATTACGGAATCAAATGGACTATTTTCAACCATATTTCAATCCTGGAATTCCTAACACCTTTGACTTTGCGATCGTTGAAAAGAACCCGTATATCACTTTTATAGGGATATGCTGAAGTCCACAGTAGATAGTATTACGCACGAATGAGAGGACTGACAACTAGACAACGATTGGCACCAAGCCTTTCCATCGCATTTATGTCTAAGGTGGAAGCACCAGTAATCGATCTCCGGCCATTAGTCTACTGTTGATATATAGATGATTGCTTTGTCATATGGTCAGCACAAGAGGAAATGGACAAATGTTCTGAGTTGTTGGATGAGCAGTCAAAGTGTATTAAGTTCACCCGAGAGAAACCGAAAGAAAACTGACTTACATTCTGAACGTTCAAACAACCTATCCGAAAACGGCCACATTACGAAGCGGTACCAAAAGCCAAGTAATAAAGGCACACTGGTTACCACCTCTCCTCTCACACCTCATACACAAAACGACGCTTGTAAGAAACATTTTTTGAACAGCAACTAGCCTATTCACAGGAAGAGAGCAGAAAAGGGAGTCTCAGAACTTGGCGCCACAAACAGCCATTTCCAATGGCTACGAAACTGTTGCTTCTTGGGATAGGCATAGAGAAAAGCGCAAGACCCTGAGCAACAATTCTAGCGATAGTAATGTCCCATTTACCTTACTCTTCCTTTCAAATGAAATAACTGCGGCCACAGAACATTGCTTAAGAGGAGCCGGTCTAGAGAATTCGTTTATAATAATCGAAATACCACCGAGCACTCTAAAAAGCCAACTAGTTCGCAACCACCTGTGTGACTGTCTATGTACAACTACAACGCAAAACTGTATTATTTGCCCTAACGGTAGAGACTATGATTGCATGAGTTCGGGTACAGTTTATCTGATCTCTTGTAAAGCGTGCGGAGACCAATACATCGGCGAAACGGGTAGACCACTCTGCGCTCGTATAAAAGAACACCTAGTCGGCAAACTTGAAGTTAAACAAAGTACTCCACTAGGCTCTGCACAAAACACAGAGACGTAATTGGGAAGATTTTGAAGTATAAGTTACGATCCTTACAGGAATCAAAAACACAGGCACGCAAAACTCTCAGGGCACCCCTAATCAATTCCAAGAATCCGAAAATGAGCCGAAAGGAAGAATTCCTCATAATCACGAGTTATACGGGACAGTAAATGAGCCGTTATTTTTATGTGAGGGGCACAATACGATTCCATGTGGACTCTCTGCGGTTGATCTCCATGTGACATATTCTGTGGAAGACTCATAGAAAGCGGTGAGTGTGCAGAGAAGCTATTCTGTGCCTAATGTGATTGAAATCTTGAGTTATCGCCCATGTATTACTCTGTGTGGCTGCTATCCACCAACTAACTTAAATACTTAAAACAAATAAACGGCTCTGAAGAAGGCGAAACCGCCGAAACGTCAGCTTGCTATTAAATAAAGAAACAAAATAACACCTCGTGTTTGCTCAACAAGAACATAAAGAATTGCTCGTTGCATGCCGAAGTTAATAGAAAGTCGATAGTGGGAGTTCATACTAGAGTTGAAAGTATTAGATTTCTGCAAAGCTCTGGACCGCAGGTGTCTATGGTGGGGAACGAACGCGCTATTATCCTTTCCGGGGAGTAACGTGCCGATTTGCGCTCCCCAGATCAACCCCGCTGACGGGTGATTGCTGTGGCAAAAAGATCGATAGAAATAGATGAGAGACAGGCGAAACGAAGGCCCCGCATGGTGTGGTGGTGAACGCGTTACTCCCCGGAAAGGATAATAGCGCGTTCGTTCCCCACCATAGACACCTGCGGTCCAGAGTGTTGCAAATATCTCAGCAACGTTGTGGTTGTATTTCGCTTAGTAACCTGCCATGAAAATTATAGAAGGCAGAAAACAAAACGTTAAACATTATTAGATTTCATCACCACAAGATTCCCTGCTCAGCATTCTTGGATAGGTCTACGAACACACAGGAGATATCCGCAGGAGATAGTGTAGAGTTTGCCCATTCACTTTCGACTGAGTGCATGAAAAAAACCTAGATGACTACTAACAGGCTTTTTCATGTGACAGACTATTTGTTTTATAGCCTAATCAGATTATAAAAAGTTAAGAAGATAGAAAATTCATGGTTTATTTGGAACGGAAGAATATGATGCAAATGCTCAAGGAACTGCAAAAGAAACAGTCACATGTTGCTCGTAGTGCTTGCCGGTTCCCGCTTGAAGTTTGCCGTATTGTGTACTTCCAACTGCCGTTTCGGTCGCCTTCATTGAACACTTGAATAAAATGGTTACAGTTTATCCGAAATCTAATTGCCTATTAAAAAGAACATGTAAAATATAGTAATCGTTCTATGATAACGAGCCAAACTTTAGCGACGAAGAAGGACGATTACGTCGTGATGAAGTCAACGTAACACCGGAGCAGTTTGAAAAATAAAACTGTTTGAGAGAAAAGCCACGTTTATAGGAAAAAATCTAGCAGAAGTTACAAAAGGTAGAGGATTTTGTAGTTGAAAATGGCAATGATTTGGCTTAAGGCGTAGAAAAAAAATCACTTCTGTTCTGCTTGAAGTTGACTAAGTGTGTGACCATGACCAGTGCTCTTTTGCCTCTTTTGCCAAACTGTTTGCGATCAAGGAAGACATCGAAGAAGCTGAAACACGCAACGTCCTTCACTCACATGATCGAAATTAACCAGTGCAGCAAAACGCAGCTTACGGAAGGGTTTCTTAGAATTCACTAATCGGTTAAGGCTTCCGATTTTCCTGAAATGGAAGAGATTATTGAGAGCATGTGTAGTCACAGATTTCCTGCTCAGTATGTAATACTACAATAGTTCTGCACTGGAGAAAAAATTTACACAACCACCACATAAAACAATATCGGTAGGACTTCTGAGCACCTCATTTGAAAACATTATTTCTATAGCTGAGAGACAGACGAAGCGGAGGACCGGCATACTGTGGTGGCGAAAGCATTAGCCCCCGGAAAGAGTAATAGTGCGTTCGTTCCCACCGCATACACCTGCGGTCCGGAGTTTTGCAAATATCTCAGCATCATTGTGATTATTTCTATATTTGAATAAGAAGGAAAAAAACCAGAATCGTGGGCACTAAGCAGTTAGCGAAAAAGTGCTTAGAAAAAGCATGTTCTCACCAGATGCCTCCCAGATGATCAACAGAATGTGTCGGTAGCGCACCGATAACGATGACCTTGACTTCGCTGGACTGAATGGAGTGAAAAACCTGAACTGATCACAGGCGAACCAGAATAACTTTCGGTGCTAGTGGTATAGATCCGAATTTTTTGACTGTACCAAAGAATATTCCGTACTGATCTTTACCCGTTCGCCAGCTATTGGCTATCTTTCTCTTTCGTACTCTTTCACTAGCTACTGGTTACCTAATTCTTCCAGGGGTACTTGAAAAAAGTAGAGAAGCAAGAACATCACGATGTGGGTTCAACATGAATATGGTGGGGCAGAGATGTGGTGTTGAAATTCTAAACATTTTAAAATAAACTATTTTTGGTTATTTTTCCACCTAATGCGGCCTTTTGATTCTCTCGATGATTAAACCCACACGTGATCAGCCTGTAGTGAAACTCTAGTGTCAAGGCAACACTATACAAAGGAAGGCCGCTAATTGTGATAGATACGATGGCGATTCAATGGGGCTTAGAGAAAGTGACAAATGAGCTCAATTGGCTTGCTACTTCTAATCCTACGATTGATGTGACTTCTGATTACTGTCGTATGCCCGAAAAGCCAATAATCTAGAAAATGGCTCGTCTTCTGACTGATCTCGAAGGCACAACGAGCGGTGCCCAACATTCCATCGGAATAGTCCTTCTGGCTAAAAAGTCAATGCGAGATTGTAGTCTGATTTGTTCACGATGTTCGTCAGTTTTTTTTCAAAACATGCGATACATTTGATCACTCACGACGGCTACGGTGTTACAGACAAGTGGCATTGTAGAAGATAGTTAAAAAAGGATAAACGACAAAGCTCTCGGCGTGATGAGTCCCTCAGGAATGTGCCACGCATTCGACTTCATTAAGCATCGTTGAAGATGATTGAATGAATACCCAGCCTTTACGATAACTCGCGCGGTGGCCTACCATTGTATCGAGCCTGTGATGCAATCCTCCTAGACAAATCTGGTACCAATTTGCAGACCCCTAAGGGATGGAAGGCTAAGTGAGTCGCGTCGCTGGCGCTGGTATCGATCTCC